GTAAGAACCGCTTCCCCCTAATAGAATTGAGGAACCCGCATCTTAAAGGATAGACAATGGGCTGCATCAAGGAGATGTCGATTTTTGCGTTCTGCTACACCATTTTGTTGAGGGGTATTAGTTCATGAAGTTTGATGAATAATGCCATGAGTGGCGAAATAATTGGCAAGACTAGAGTCAATATATTCCCCCCTATTATCGGAACGTAGAATTTTGACAATCGCCCCAAACTGAGTACAAATCATTTTATGGAAGTTTTAAAACACAAAAACACCTCACTTTTATCTTTCATCAGATGTACCCAAGTGGCACTAGAACAATCATCTATGAAAGTAACAAACCATTTTTGACCGTTTAAAGACACAAAACGAGAAGGACCTCATACATCAGAATGAATTAAAGAAAATGGAACTGAACTTTTATTAATAGAAGGAGCAAAAGAGGCTCTGTGTTGTTTTCCAAGTTGATAAGACTCACATTGAAAATCTGGCACATTATTTTTTTCAAAAACAGAAAGAAATAAATGCTTAAGTAATAAAAAAAAAGGATGTCCTAAGCGACGATGTCATAGCCAAAGGTCTTCCGTAGTGGATGGTAACTGAATACATGAATGAGTCAGCTTGTTCGTCTGATCCAGAATGTAGAAACCATGTTCCTCTCTACCACTGCCAATCCTCTTCCTTGTGATAATGTCCTGAAAAAGACAATGATCAGAAAAAAAATTGCACGCTACAATTTAAATCACGAGTAAGACGACTCAAAGATAAAAGATTAACACTAAAATTAGGAACATGGAGGACAGAGGACAGAGGAAGGAAAGAGGTGACATGAATTAAACTTTCCCTAACACAGATGAAATAGTACCATCAACAATACGCACTTTTTCCTAACCTGAGAAGGGGTTATATTCTGAGAATAAATTAGAGGAGCCAGACGTATGGTCAGAAGCACCAGAATCAATAATCCATGGTACAGTCATATAAGATAGCAATGCACATGGGGAGGAAACCAAGTTACCTGAACTGGAAAAGGAAGAAGAGGGTGCACTTGCATCAGAAGTGGAGGCTCGACGGTCTAGCAAGTGGCAAAGAGCAATCTCAAAATCCGAGGCAGATAACTCCAAAATATTAGCAACAGGGGAGATAACTGGAGAGGAAGATGGTGGCTCAACCGTGTCTGAAAGATGTGCCCGAGCATTGGCCCCTCGTCCTCTAGATGGACCAAACCTCTCCCTCGAGTACCAGGACGGTCTCCTCGGCCACCAGAAAGAGTCCCATGCAGCCACCAGAAAGAGTCCCATGCAGCTTGCAACAAGTCTCTCGGGTGTGGCGAGGTCTACTGCACTAGTCACAGAAAAGATTATCCTTCTCAGAGGAAGGACGAGAACCACAAGGCACACGGTCGCCGTCGCGAGGGGGGGACAGAAACCAAGGCCGAGTGATTAGTAGCAGCAGAAGGAAGCATTGCAGAGCAGGGACTCTCCTCATTCTGTACAAAAGTAAAGGCTTCCTGGAGAGAAAGAAGCACATCCATGGCAAGTACTCTACTCTGAACCGGATCATAATCCACATTTAGGCCTTCCAAGAACTTGAAGTCCCGCTCTTGCGCCATTAACTTCCGATAACCAGCAGAATCAGTGGGACAGACAGGCTTGTAATCCTGAAGGTGATCATGCTGTTTCCACCCATTGCTAAGGAAGGTAAAATACTGGATGATAGTCATCTCACCTTGTATCGACCTTTCAATAGAGCGACGTAACTCAAAAGCCTGTGAAAAGTTCCCTTTCCTAGAGTAAGTAGTAGTTATAGCCTCCCAAATATCCTGGACAGTGTCCATAGACAGGTAGCTCTCTTCAATCTCAGGTACAATAGAATGGATCAACCAACCTATGATTAGGGAGTTGGTTATCTCCCACTGGTCATAACTAGGATCTGTGGTACTAGGTGCCTCTATCCTTCCATCAACAACATACCCCATCTTCCCTCTGCTCTTCAAAAAAATAGTCAGACTCTGCGACCAGGTTAGATAATTGTGACTATTGAATAGAGAGGAGGTGATCTTAAGGCTAGGGTTGAGGTTATCAATCATAGTAGTAGGGATAATGGAACTGTCGCTCTTAGGTGGTAGAGAAGTAGTGGACTTACTGAGGGAATCTGCCATGGATACTCTACTATTTAACTCTCAAACACAATGCCAATCACAAACCCGGAAGATAATAGTGGAAGGAAAGACACCACTACTCCTATGAAAGCATAAAGAATTAATTTTTTTTTGTTTTTGTTTTTGTTTTTTTGTTGTTTTGGAAGAGAAGAAAAACAAAGAAGAAAGAAAGACGAAGGAGAGAAGAACTCAGACTTATGAGGCATTAGTTAACGAAGGCAACGAAGGCACCCGTCGACCAACCAGGGGCTGCCGACAAGTCTAGAGGAAGATAGAAAAGGCCTCCAGGTGTGCCGACAAACCTAGAATGACAGGCTAGGGTTGCTGACAGGCCTAGAGGAGGACAGAGGAAGCTTCGACTTGCCTGGGGGAGAGCTGTCTGACCTTATACTTAACTGGGTAAGGGCCGAATGGCCAGGAACTTCCTTCGATTGGCTTGGGTAGGGGTCGATTATCCCAGGCAAGGGTCTGGGTGGCCTGGGCAGTCCTGCGTTGGAAGAAAGGTGGCTGTGCTTAGGTTTGTCCTATTGAGGCTCTGATACCATGTAGGTTTAGAGAAGAGAAAGAGTTAGGGAATAAGTTAGACCTCATCCCTTTTTATATTGATACTAATGGGTAATTATAGGAGTGCCACAAGGCATAAATTATGGGCTAGCCCATTACATCAATCAAGGGAAAATAAAACCAAATAAGAATAAAACATATAAATATTATTTCCTATTCTACCATTTCATATGTATTTAAGTGATACATGTTTTGAGAAGTGTTTGACGAGTGTCGTATTGTGTCTTTCTTTTTAGGATTGACCTAATCGAAGCCTTTTTTCTTGTTCAAATCTGGATTGCGGCCTTCAAATCTAGTACGATTTGGGTTGATTCTTTCGTATCTGTCTTTGAAAGGCTAGATTGAAGTCTTCTCTTAGATAGATTTTGTTTGATTCCGCCATATATTTGTTCAAACCCTCAGATCTGGTTCTCCTTGGCTTGATTTCTTCACATTTGTGGTCAAAACTTCTCACTCAGATCTGGTTTGACTTGCCTCGTTTTTGGATTTGTGTTCGAAACTTCTTAGATCTGGTCATCTTTGTTCGATTTTGGGTAATTGGAATTGATTCTCATATCTGGTTTGATTTGGCTTTTTTTTTTGGATTTGTGTTCGAAACTTCATAGATCTGGTTGTCTTGGTTCGATTTTGGTTGAATCTTCAGATCTCTGTTCAAAAGATTTGATCCCAGTCTATTTTTGGTTCAATTTCTGCAGATCTATGGTTGATTAGGTCAAATTTGAGTTTGATTGCTTCAATTCAGTTCGAAACTGGTTTTGGATAATTGGAATTGCTTTGAAACTGTGTCTGCTTCAGTTTGAAATTGTTTGATTCAGTTCGGAACTGGTTTTGGATAACTGGAATTGCTTCGGAACTGTGTGCAGACGCCTTAGTTTATCGAAGATAATTTCTACTTGCTTCAAATTGCTGAGAATTTTCAATTCAAAATCGCTTTGTGAATTTAAGTAAGAGAGTTGAGTTGAACCAAATTTGTGTTAATCTACTTCTTGACAAGACAATGGTGCTAATCAAAATTCAAAATCGAAGTCATAATTATGAGATGAAGCACATGAGAAGGTACATTGTTGCCGTGGAAGGGGTTTTTGCAGTCCTTGGCATCCCCTTGCAAGCAGATGGTGAAATTTTTGAAAGCCTATGTTGTGGGCAGCTGTTTTGTATTTGAGATGGCTGCTTGTTGGCATGTACTCCTTTATGCCTCGATTGGGCTTTGTGTTGTGTAATCTGTTGATGCAAAGCATTTTGAAGATTGTGTCCAAAGGATGGAGGGAAGAGTTCAGTATCGATTTCCAACTCATGGTCAGATTGCTCAAGTTGTTCCTGTTGTTGGATGCATTGTCATCTTGTCATTCTAATCACATTTCTCAGTCTTGCTTTGCAGATAGCATAGCCATGTAGTGGTAAAGGGGCTTTGAAAGTTGGGGTCTGTCGTAGATCTAGCAAGAGGATATGCGAACATGATGGGGTTGTAATATTTGCACATGTCACTGTTCAGCCAAGGTTGCAGATTTTACGTATTCAAGGGATAATGTCTTGTAAGGGTCTTTTGAGCAAGGAAACGCAACACAAGTTCTTCATCTCACATCTCAAAATGTAGTTGAATTGTGTCACCCAACTACCAAAACTTGAGGACAACTAAAAATGCACTTAAAACTTATAGAGAGTGAATTTTAGCAAGACAAAAAAAAAAAAAAAAAAAAAGGGGGGGGGGGGGGGGGGTTTGTAATTTTCCTAGAATTGTGTCTTTGCATGATTAATTTGAAGAATAATAAACTATATTTTATTCATAGTCTAATTATTAAAATAAAATTTCTCTCATATTCAGAAGTACGTTAAATTATAATTGTGCAATCTATACAAGTATACTTTTATCGTACCACATATTAGTACATGTGGTGTACCACGGTCCCATTTCTGTTCCTTGTATCAAATCAAGGCATGTTCCGTGGTTGTTACATAGGATTGGCCTATGTGGAATGCTAGGGAATTTTATATTTTATGTCTGATGCGGCAATCGGGCCATCTCTCTTGTTTCTTGGTCTATTTTGATGAAGGATTTTAGATGATTCTGTTCTTTATCTTCAACCTTGATTGTACAACAACCCTTATGATGTACAATGGACTTTTAAGTTTTGTATGCTCTGCGTCTTTTCCTATATTACTCTTCTGATTTTTTTGGCACTTAACACAAACAAATTTGATTCTTTTGCTGCATTCTGTCAATAGGCTTATTACAGTGTTGGCCTTGATAGCTTTAATAGCATTCCTGAACTTTGCAGGGGAGAAGATGATGAGAAGGAGTATTTTGTTAAATGGAAAGAGCTTCCCTATGATGAATGTTATTGGGAATTTGAGTCAGACATTTCTTCATTTCAACAAGAAATTGAAAGATTTAATAAAATTCAATCTAGGCGTCGTAAACTATCTTCAAGTAAGCAGAAGAGCAGCAATCGTGATAGCACGGAGTCAAAAAAGAAACTGAAAGAATTTCAACATTATGAACAGAGTCCTGACTTTCTTTCTGGAGGTACACCATTGATCTGATCTGCACTATCTGTGATTGCACATGATTGTGTGTATTTTCTGTTTGGTTTGACCATTGTGAAATCCTAAGTGCATTTTGGTGTTAATGAAGGCTCACTCCATCCATATCAGCTTGAAGGGTTGAACTTCTTACGCTTCTCTTGGTCCAAACAAACACATGTGATACTTGCTGATGAAATGGGCCTAGGTAGGTTCTATATTGTTTTATTAATTTTGGAAGAGTATATTTTTTTGGCATATCAGTGGCTAGATTAGTGTCAATATTTTTACTTTTTGCATTGCCACAAATGTAACTGAGTGTAGCAGTCACTGTTATTATGTACACCATTAGTAGGGATTATCTCAACTACATAATCATACTGGGTTTGATTGTTGCAGGGATTGTCAATCTTACATCCATTATTTAGATAGTTAGAATTCCGATAACTATAAGAGGGAATTTTTATTTTATTTTTGTTTGTTTGTTTAGACCGCAGTAGGAAGACAAATGTGAAAAGGACAAGTTTTCTTGAAAGAAAAAGGGGTCAAAGGTTATGTGGATTTCAAAAAAATAACAAAAGAAAAAAAGTAACCAGTGTGTTTGGTTTTAATTTTTTGAATTCAATTTTTTGCAAATTGAGTTTTTGTTTTTTGTGTTTTTTTTTAGTGAATATTTTTAAAATTTTGAGTAATTTTTTTAAACTTTTTTAGATGCACCTTACTTAGATGTATCTAAATAGTAAAATATTTGTGAAAAAATATTTTAAAAAATTAATAAATACACAAAAATACGAAAAATGTATTGAATTTTCATATATATATATATATATATATTTTTTTTTGATATTTAGTGAATTTTTTAAAGATTTTTTTCACAAATATTATACTTTTTAAGTGTATTTATGTTGCGTATAAAAATTTAAAAATTGCTTAAAATATTAAAACAAATTCAGTGAAAACTTAAAAATACGGAAAACGAAAAAGTAGAATTTTTTGAAAAGTGAATTTTGAAAATAGAAACCAAACAGAGTAAATGGTAGTTGAAAAATCAACATCCCACATGTATCTGCAAGTTATTCAAAATGTATTACTTGTTTTTACCTAATGTAACCAGCAGCAGTTGATAGTACACGATGCACATTAACCAGTACAGTTATTCAAAATGTATTAGTAGTTTTTACAAAATTTAGCAGCGGCAGTTGATAGTACATAATGCAAATTAACAAGTAGTATCCTACTTGACATGCATGGGACTCCCGGTTCTAAGGCAAGGCTGAAATTTCTTTTTCCAAACCAAATAGGCATTTGGGGGACAAAATTGTGAAACTATCACGTAAATTCCTGGGAAATGTTCTGAACACCTTGGGAGGGACCGATGTAAGTAGTAGTCTCCTTCAGGGTGTATTACTAATTTTTGTAAAAAATAAATTGATAGAGAGAGAATAAATTGTATGTATTATTGATTGATATAATGTTGTAGTTGATATCTATTACAATGATTCATGATTCCTATATATATAGAAGAGGGTGAGTGTGTAGTAGGTACCCCTTCAAATCCAGATAACTCTTCACCTTTTTATTTTTTATTTTATTTCTAAAAGAAAAACCTATCTTTCTCCCGTTTTTTTCCCTATCACTGTCTAAACAACATTTTTCCCTGGAAGGAAATTTTGGTATTGCTCTTTTTGGGAGAACCAAGAGAGCCAAAACAATATGGACAAGCATTGGTTGAAGAGAAATGCTAGAATCTTTGATGGCAAGTATGCAAGTGTAGAGGCTTTGTGGGATAGGGTGGATTATTTGGCATCATTTTGGGCATTTGTATCCCCTCCTTTTAAAGGAGTTCCCTTGTTCTTGATCTCTGGGGATTGGGCTGCTGTTTGCCTTCCCTAAGGCTATGAGTTTTATGTTTCTGTTTTGCTCTTTCTCTTTCTCTCTTTGTATGAGGACTCCTTGTGAAATAAGCTGTACTGATAGCAAGCAACTAACCAATTCATTCCAGAATTATGAAGTTTCTCGTGTCTTGATTTGGAATGAAACCTTCCTTGTCTCTATAAATAAATCTCTATTTCATTCTAAAGAAAAAAGATGTTTCTTAAAATTGAAGCAATAGATCTTAATTTGTGCACGTTAAGAACTTGGGTCTGTGACGATTTGTACGAGGCATATGCTTATGTCAAGGAGAATAACCACAAAATTGTATGAAATCTTATTATTAAGAATAGTTTAAAGTAGCTTTGACAAATGCTTATATCAAGGAGGATAATCACAAAATTGTATGAAATCTTATTACTAAGAATAGTTTAAAGTAGCTTTTGTAGTTGACAAATTGACTATGTTGGCTTACCTCTGAATGCAGGAAAAACAATACAGAGCATTGCTTTTTTAGCATCTCTTTGTGAAGATAATATCTCTCCACATTTAGTATTAGCACCACTATCGACATTGCGTAACTGGGAACGTGAATTTGCAACATGGGCACCTCAACTGAATGTTGTATGTCCATGAACTTTTCTAACTTCTATCAATAATTGGTTGGCAAGCATACTTGAATAAAACTTACTTGTTGCAGGTCATGTATGTTGGCTCTGCCCAAGCTCGTGCTGTTATTAGGGAGTACGAATTTTACTTTCCAAAAAGGAAGAGCAAAAAGAAGAAATCTGGTCAAATTGTTGGTGAAAGCAAGCAAGATAGGATAAAATTTGATGTCCTCCTAACATCATATGAAATGATTAACTTAGATACCACATCATTAAAACCGATACAGTGGGAGTGTATGGTAACGTTCTTTGACCCATTGAGGACATTGCTAGTTTAGAGTGTGTTTCTTGCTACTAAATGATGCTGACATCTCTATGTAGATTGTTGATGAAGGTCATCGTCTCAAGAATAAGGATTCAAAGTTGTTTTCTTCTTTGAAGCAATACTTTAGTAAACATCGTGTCATTTTGACTGGAACTCCTCTTCAGGTTTGTTGTGAACTTCCAGTACTTTGTTTGTCAGTACTTTAAAAATCTTTTGTGTCTTTGTTTGAATATGCATAATTCTTGGTGGCACATTTATGCTTCCCTTAAAAAAAAAACCATGAAGCAAAGGTGCCGCATTGTTGCTGGCATTTCTATGGTTGAACTATTGGAACTTCTAAATAGTCATTTAACGTATCAGTTGATAAGCTGCAAACTAGTTGATGCATTTTGGTACTTCGTACTAATACCATGACAGATACTGGCCTGATATATTTGTCTTAGCAAAATTTCTTTCTCTTTAACTTTGTATCAGCCATCTTAGTATCAATGGTTTTGTCCCTAGCATGAAATTACAACACTGTAAGCCCTTAATCTCATGTGTTTGCCATGTTGTCCATTCTTCGGTTTGATTTTGTATCCCTAGATTTTTAGAATTCTTTTGGGGTGTTGAGCTCATATTAATTCTGCTAAGGTAAAAGAAAAGTTTTATAAGGCAGTTTATGTTGTATAGTACAACAACGTTCAAAAAATGGGAATGTTAGGATGGAAAAAACGAAAGATAAAAACGAACAAATGTGTTTATTCGAAGTTAGAAGTGGGACTGATTGGGGGTAAAATGAAGAGAATGTTATTTTATTTGGTTTGATTTCATTAGCATGGATTAAATAATGTTCTTGTAAGAGTGACTTGATTCAAGTTGAAGGGGGCTAAAGCAATATAAGAAAGGGAAAAAGGGAATGTAAGGTGAGGTCATTAGGGATGATATCATTACTTGGGACTTATCCGGGGATATGGTTTTAATATAGCTGATTGGAGAAAATATATCTACTTAGCTAAGTTCGATTAATTGGGATTAGGTTTGTTTAGTTGATTTAATGTTAAGAAATTATGAAAAAGGATTTTCTGTTGTTGTTTTTCTCATGTCTTTTGTTAGACAACCAGTTGCCTTCAAAGCTTAAGTGCTAGGGAACGGTCTCAAACATGTATATCAAGCTCTCACACCTTCCCTTGCGTTGGCCCCGTCTTACATTTGCAAAGATAGATAAACACAATACGATGCAAACACAAATGAAATGAAGTGCACATAGAAAACATAGAGAGGGAATAAATACACATAGAGAAACCTGAAACTAATAACAAAAATTAAATGAAGTGCACATAGAAAACATAGAGGGGGAATAAATACACATAGAGAAACCTGAAACTAATAACAAAAATTAAATGAAGCGCACATAGAAAACATATAGGGGGAATAAATACACATAGAGAAACCTGAAACTAATAACAAAAATTAAAACACCTCCCAAACCAAATCTCTGATAGGATTTGGAGTCAAATTTAATGCTATGTGCTACCAAATCTCTGATATGATGATGACAACTAGTTTGTTTGTAGCAATAAGTTTGATTCTCATGATTTGCAGCCTAGCTTGATCAAGGGTTTAAGGCCCCTTTAATTGAATTATTAGTAATATTACACTCAATCATTGTGATTTACAAAATTTCAAATCAATTATCTTATAAAAATGCCTATAATCTGATTTTTTGTAGTTAAATAGCCCTCAGTCTTATAATCAATATACCACAAAGCCTAGCCATACAAAACAGTTCGTAAATTCAGAATATGCTAAGAGAAATGCTTCGAACATGCCAAATGCCTTTGAACTTGCGACTTAAGAGTACATTGACGAGTATTTTTACTTATTGTATGTCTATGCATGTGATGCCAGTTTTGCTTGCTCGGCGTTGGAGAAGTTGCAACGAGATTTTCTTTGGGGAGGGTGTGGGTGATGAGTTTAAGTATCATTTAGTTGGCTGGAAGTCAGTGTGTAGTCCAAAGGAGGTGGGTGGTTTGGGAGTTAGAAGTTTGGTCTTGTTTAATAGGGCCTTATTAGGTAAATGGTTGTGGCAGTATGCGCATGTGAGAGAGAGAGAGAGAGGGGCATGGTAGGGGTTTGTGGAAAGGTATTCAGATGGTGTGGGGTGAGTTTTGGAGGTGGGTTGGTTTTCGAGTAGTGAGGGGGCAGAGGGTGAGGCTTTGGAGGGATAGATGGTGTGGGGAGCAGAACATTCTACTTCATTTCCATTGATTTTTCAACTTGCTATGGATACGGATGAGGTGGTGACCAACTATTTGAGTGGATGAGGGTGATTGGTTTGGGATGTAGGGCTTCGACAGCAAGTTCAGGGCTGGTAGGTGGATCAGTTAGTGGATTTAATGGCTTTTCTGTATGGGGTTAAAAGGGTGGGGGTGAGGGTGATTGTTTGGTGTGGCTGCAGCAGGGTGCAAGGGTGTGTTTTCAGTGTCGTCTTTTTTCTGAGCCCTGGCGGGAGGTGTTGATGTTATTTTTCCGTGGCGAAGTGTTTGGATTGCTGGTGCCCCTTCAAAGGTAGCTTTCTTCTTGTGGGCGACGGTGTTGGATAAGATTCTCACCATTGACAATCTTATTCGGTGTTGGCAGCAGCAGGTCTTGGTTAATTGGTGTTACATGTGTCGCAGGGATGTGAAGTCTGTTTCCTATGCTTCTTCGTTGTCCCGTGGCATATCATTTGGCGGCTCAGATGAAGGCACAATTACTGGTGATTTTGTATAGCTGGGTGACGGGGTCTGTCTCTGAATTTGTTTGCTTTTGTGGATTTTTTAGATGCTCTCTGTGTTTAGGTTTTGGGTTCTGTTGATGTCTCAGTGGTATTCATTAGCATCATCTTGATGCTCTTTTGTTAATAAAATAATCTTTATTTATCCAGAAAAGAAAAAAGAAGAAACAATCAGAACTCAGAATTTTCCTGATCCTGAATGTGCAAATGAAATTGTTTTGTTACATCAAATCTCCAAAACCCTGAAAAAACTAGCCAACTAAACCAAGACTAATGAATGCACAAAGCTGCTGTAAACTAATTGAGACAATCGGCTATACTGACCTTGAATTTTTCAGTTCCTGAATGTGCAAATGAAATTGTTTTGTTACGTCAAATCGCTTTGAAACCCTGATACTATTTTACAACTGAAAGGAGCAGTCAAAATGGAGCCAAAAGAGCTCAGGACAATTATATGGATGGTTATATTTATGGTATGAACAGTTGTCAATCTGCTACTTTACAGTCCTGCGTAATACTCTGGTGGTTCTCAATCTCATGATTTGAGGGAAAAATAGTACAAAAATGTAGAAGAAAAGAAGGAAAAGGGAAATGAAAAATGAATTAAGGAGAAAGGAAAGGTAATGGTAGGAGCCAGTCTACCTATTGAATGCTTTCATACCATGTTGGGAGAGTAACGCTTCTGGGTCCAGCACCAACCATTACTATCGGCTGGGTCCAGCCCCTACCATATATGAGTTGTAAAGAATCAGTAATGAATAGACTATTACATATATAACCTTGTAATGAATCTTAATTGCTTTTAAAATCTTGTAGTTGTAATTTCATATGTTCATGAAATCTTGACTTCCATAGAAACTTCAAAGCAAATACTAGTTTATCTATGCAGATTAATTTTTTTATTTATTTAATTTATTTTTATTTTTTTTAAACCACAATTCACTCTTTTTAGATAGGTAAGTCAAAGCTTGGATGTGTACAGGGCTACGAATATTGAGATCCCCTTGCCGCGAAAAAAATAAAATAAATAAAACTGTATCAAAATATGGATGTCTCCCAACGCACTTGATTAATGGGTACAACTTTTCCAAGTACTTATTGTAGAACAATTGATTCTGACTTGGGGTGGGTTAGAGGTGCAACTTGGGCAGGCCTAACCTGGTCAACCTGATCCCACCTTGTAAAATTTTAAGGATTGGGTATATATCGAAACACAAGTCTGGGCCTGCGATAATATTTCCAACCTGAATTAAAATTTGAGTTGGGCTTGGGCAGAGGCCTCGGACAACCCCGAAACCCGAACTCGTGGTATGTATAATTATAATATATTATATATATATTATAAATATCACCATCTCCTTTCACTCTGACCATTAGATCTCACCTCCTCTTCTTTGGGACTGAAGTGGTGAACCCTTTTTTATTGAGATTGTGGCACCAGAGCACTGTTGTTGGTTGCTGGAGTAATGTCACAAGTTATGACGATATGTATATTGAATTTATTTGAAATCCCTTCATAGAAGAACTTCATTAATAAAAAAACACTATAATAAGGCCAACATTAATCAATCAAAACAAAAAGGTTAGCTCTAGCCTAGAAAAGTAAACAAAATTAAGTTCAAAATCTCATCCCAATCTTTTGTGGGTAACCTGAGCTTAACCCATGCAAAATTTATTGAGTTGGGCTCAAGACCTCGAGATGGGAAGTAAGGCCTGAGCAGCTCTTAGGCTGTACTTAGCTGGGCTTGGGTAGGTCTTGTGCCCAACCTAGCCCCTCCGACTTGCACCCATAGATGGATTTTGTTTCTGAATGAATATTGTTGGTCATATGCACTTATTATGCACTATGTCCGATGTGTAATTGCTCAGAATAGGACGTGACAATATGTTAATTTTGGTAGGTGAGCAATACAAGGAGATTGTGCAAAATCGCTACATTATTTTAATTTGGGAAGCTTTAATGGTTTAATAATAGAAATTGAGCCATATTAGGTAAGGGAAATTCTATTTACACACCATTACTTATTTCACACCTTTGATATTTTTAACCTTTGATTTTTAACTCAACACACCACAATCTTCCCTTTTTACCCTAAGACCAAAAAACAATAAATCTCAATACACACCATTATGCACATCACATCCTATACCCAATTCACCCTCACCTTCACCGTAACTATACATCTGTGGTGATGACACATCAATGAAATGATTGCTGGCATTGAAGATCTTGGATTCTGACCTCGGAAGATCTACGATTCTTACCTTTGAACCTCACCTAGGTTAGTTTTTCCCATCTGTTTTTGATTTGTTTGGCGATTCACCTTCCATAACTGTTTCTATTTCGAATTTGGCTCGATACTGGTTGTCTAAACATATTATTATTGTACAACAAAATAAAATTGAACAAATTAAATATGTTCGAAATATTTTTGTTGAACAAAATTAATAAGTTCATACTTTTTATATTGGATAACTTAACTCGTTCGAACTCATCATGTTCAGTTTTTTACATATGAACATTTAATAGTTGGTTAACCTTAATAATTTGAACAAAATAGTTTAGTTCGCGTGTAAATATTTAAACATTGTGTAAATGTTCAACTCTGGTTAATCTGAATGCGTGACGAACAAAACCATCCTTCTAGTGATTTTACGAACGAGAAAAAACAAAAAACAAAAAACAAAATTGCCTTTGTAAGTAGTAAACTACAAATTTCATTGATGCATTGTTCCAAAGCAAGAATCTAAGTGCCATCCATGATGTGCAAATCTTTAAAACTGATTGGTTCCAATGTTTTTAAACCCTAAATCTTCAAAGATAATAATATTTTGAGTTGGGAATACAAATATAATGGAGAAGAGAATGAGGTAAACTAATTGATAATGAATAATATCATGAGTGTTGTGTGTTAGATTATAATGGAGAAGATGATGAGTGTTGGATGATGATAAAGAAATACACCGTTTATATGTCTTTATGTGATTGTGTGCAAAGAGTGTTTTGTGTTTTGATGTATGAATTCTTTGGATTCGTAGAATACATACCATTATTGTCCTTAATAGTCATTTTATTTTAGGATATTATTATAATATAAATTTAATGTTTTAATGGTGTGTACTGGGACAATTTATGGTGTGTAAATAGAATTACCCGTTAGTTAATTAAGCTAGATAGTATTAGTTTGGGTAAATTACACTTTGCCCCCCTTTATGTGTGGTCACTTTTCCACTTTGATCATTAAAGTTTGTTTTTTCTAACTTTGGCCCTTCATATTTCAAGTTTTTCCTAGTACTCTTAAAGCTAATTTCTGCTAAAAATTAAACAGAAAATGATACATTGACAGTCACGTGACATAAAAATATTTTATTATATATAACTCACGTCTGTAACATAAACTTAAACCCCAATATAATAATATATATTTTTATATTTTGTGATAGTTATTATGGCATTTTTTGTCTAACTTTGAACTGAAGTTAGCTTTAGGGGTAGAATTGGGAAAAACTTGAAACATAAAGGGCCAATGTGGGAAAAAATAAAGTTGAAGGGCCAAAGTGGGAAAGTGGTCAAACATAAAGGGGGCAAAGTGTAATTTACCCAATTAATTTTTGGTGGTTCATAAAAGTTTCTAGTGATTTGTACATAGACATCCTTGTTGGAAAGTGAAAGTACATATAAGTATTGGAAGAACATCGAACTTTATGTTCAGCAGCACACTATGTTTGCTATTGGACTTTTATGGGACTGATTTAGGTGTTGTACAGTACATAATCCTGTATAATCAAAATATCATTGCTGCTCTGCGCTATCTCCCAACCCCACAACATTGCCAAACCAAACCAAAACCAAACTAAGCCTTGTGTCCCAATCAGGTGGGATTGGCTTCATGAATCTTTTTTCACCATTCCCCCTTGTAAGGGCTGTATGCTGAGTTAAATTAAATAAGCCACAGCATTGTACTGACCCATAAAAGAACCTGGTTCATCACCTATGTTTTCATTTGCTTAGATTGCTAGTGTCTGCGAATGGTGATTTGATAAAACTAATTAATAGCTTTTCTGTTAGCTTAGTAGTTATACCTGTTTTATGGACTTGCTATCATACAGTTTGATTTTTTAATGTTAGCTAACTCATATTTTGATCTATTTCAGAACAATCTGGATGAACTTTTCATGCTCATGCATTTCCTTGATGCTGGGAAGGTTAGTGTCAATGCAGTTTTATAGAGGCAAATACTACTGAAAATTCATAGTACAACAACAGGCATATGACTTTGAAATGCATTCTCTCAATAAGTTATTGTAATAATTGCAGTTTGGAAGTTTAGAGGAATTCCAGGAAGAGTTCAAGGATATTAATCAAGAGGAGCAGATCTCAAGGCTTCATAAGATGTTGGCGCCCCATCTACTTAGAAGTATGAATCTTAAACAAACTTAGGCCTTGTTTGGTTTGTCTCTTGAGAGACAATTTTTGAGAAAAAATTTCCAAAATTTGTTTGGTTGAATTTTTTTTAAAAAAAAAAAAAAAAAAAAAAATCACTTTTTCACTCGCACCCATCTATTCAACTACAAAAAAATTTAAATCATCCCAAACTCCAAAACTCCAAAACTATTTTCAAAACATACAACCAAACAAATTTTCAAATTTTGTAAACTCTTTCTAGAAAATTATTTTTCAAAATTGTTTCACAAATACAGACCAAACATGGCCTTAATTTTTTTGTGCTCTTCATCTAATGGTTTTACTTATTAAGCATTGCATAGGTGATATTTTGTTTTCATCAATGTTAGTTAATATTATACATCAAATTAGTGATTTCTTTGCTTCTTTATTTTCTTGTGATATAATACACACACACACACACTTTTGATAAGAAACATAAGTATAATGCTAATAACAAAGGCGAATGTATGAGAAGTTTTAAAAATCCTTCACAGGGAGAGAGCACGAACATGGATATAGCTGTAACTTTGAACTAATTAGAGGATTTATAAAGCTTTCACTAGATTTTGATGGCAAGTGACTATTTAAAGGTGCAAACAGACTTAACTGGAATTTCAAAGTTTGAATTCAATGATTTAAAGGAGAAAACATTGTTGAGAATATCTTCTCTCTCTCTCTCTATTTTTTTGCTTTGCTTTTTTAGCTTAAATTTTAACAAAGGTTGATAATGAAATAGGTAGCAAAAATTTGGGTTGGTAGTGTTGTAACTCTTACATTTTGTTCTATATTTTTGTAAGATCATCTCGATGCTGGTTCCGAGAGACTTCAATGAAACAAATATTTGTTTATTCAGACATCTGTTTTGAAATTCAACCATAAGTGTAACATGACCTATCTGCTAGTGTGTCATGCCCCGGTTTCTAAACCCAATGGATTATCACTAAATATGGTTATTAGGGATACTTAACCTAATTTAAGTTCAATTTTTGGTAAATCGCATCGAGTTGACATTATGCCAATTGGTAGGTCACCATTTAATCAATCAAATTCTGATTACTTGGAAACAACATTTATTTGAATTCAAAACATGAATTAAACAAGCCCAAAAATCTGTCTCACTTTATTTATTTATGAAAAGTGGTCTGAATTAGGTTGAAAATGAACAACAATAGAACCTAAGGAACCTAGGTAGTATGCCTAAAGTATGTTTGGTCTTGCCCTTGAGTTGGAAGACAGTCATGGTAGTAGATTTGGGATGATGTGGTGTGTTAAAAGTTTCAGTTGATAATATTAGAAGAATTGGTTTACTTGCTCTTTTTAGTCTCTGTTCATGTGATTTCAGAGTGAAACACGTTGAAAATTCTTTGTCCCGCATAGAATATATATATGTATATATATATTTTTTTCGTTGTTTGTTTTTTTTGCTTTTCGCTATATTAAAAGGAAACCCATTGCCTGTGTCTTATGCTAATCTGATGGAAGATGGAAGGATCATATATGTTCATTATTGTTCTTATATACTATTTGTGCTAGTTCGTATGTAGTTTTGGGGCGTCATTGGCTTTGCTTAATTGTGGTCATGCTTTGGTGGAGAGCTGGACATGTAAGATTTAAATATAAACAATTCTTGTAGGATCAGCTTTATGTAATCAACTTTTGAGGTTTATGTTTCACTTTGAGTCTTGATTGCCCTTAAAGGAGATATCATTGTTGATTTTGAGGACTTATTGGTTCTTATTGTGTAATGCTTTTTTAGCAAATCTCAGTCAGTGTTTGATGCTCCCTGTTATTTGGATGCTCTCTCTAATTAAAGAATGAAATCTAAATTTAATGTTTGCTCTTTTTGGGAATGTAGCCAGTTGATTCTTTTATTTTTTATTTTTTGAATTATTTTCCTTTTGAGATGAAATCATGGAATGCACTTCTTGTTTATCTCACCCAGTTGGCAATACATCCCTATTGTAGTGCAGATTTTAATTCTTTTGAAAGGCCTCGAGGATGCTTCTGCTATGGGCTTCTGTCAGTGCTTGATCAAGGGAAATTAAGTTGTTCTGATTAGATGGTTGAAAGGGCAACTCATGGCTTGTGGTCCTATGTTCATTTGATGAGAGATTAGAAAATTTATATATAGACTTGAATATGGAGATTAAATGGATCCTAAGGTTGATCAATGGTCAAGTGATGCATTAGCCAAGTTGAAATTGGTATAACAGATTCAGTTGGGGTGCATGTGAGTGTTCTTCAAGGATGTTCTTTTGAGCCTGTGGGATGAGAGGGGTCTATCTTTTTGGATGTCACTTTATGTGCATCTCATAAATGCCTTGTAATTTGTTTCCTTCTACCATTAATATTGGCTAGCTTGAAAAGCTTCTCATCCTTGTTTACTCCTTGTTCAAGTAGTATTTAGTTATCATTTCTTATCCCTAGCCATGGCTCTTCCAATAAAAAAGGAATTGATACTCGTCAGCATTATATATTTCAATATCATTAATATGTTATTGAAACACACTGTAAAACTGTCATTAATGACACTGCAGGAGTAAAGAAAGATGTCATGAAGGAGCTACCACCAAAGAAGGAGCTCATTTTGCGTGTGGAATTGAGTAGCAAGCAGAAAGAATACTACAAGGCCATTCTCACTCGTAACTTTGAGATACTAGCTCGAAGGGGTGGTGCACAGGTGAGATTGCAGGTTGTATTGAGATGGCATTCTTTTCATATTATTTTGAAAAATATTTAACTTCAGTTGGATATTCCTGAAATTAGATTTCTCTTATCAACGTGGTTATGGAATTGCGCAAGCTCTGTTGTCACCCGTATATGCTAGAAGGAGTTGAACCAGATATAGAGGATGTAAATGAGTCTTTCAGGTGATCCTATGAATTTTGATTTTGATTTTTATGGGTTCTTTGTGCAAATAGGCTGTAAATTTGTCTTTTTGTTTATCTCGTGTGTGGGGAAGAAACTGCCTCAGTAGCTCAAACGATATTTGTTATTTGTTTCTTCTCTTACCAAAAAGTGTTGTTCTGAACCCTGCTTTTATATTTATCTTTCTATTTGACAGACTACTGTTGGAAACTTCTGGGAAGTTGCAACTTTTGGACAAAATTATGGTGAAGCTTAAAGAGCAGGGGCATAGAGTTCTGATCTATTCTCAATTTCAGCATATGCTGGACTTACTGGAAGATTACTGTAGCTACCAAGTATGAATTTTGAACTAATTTTGTATGTGGTCTTATATTCTTGTTCTAGGAAGCGCAGCCACCTTGATGGGTTCTGTGTCCGTGTCCAACACATATTGGACGCTGCCATGCTGCGGACATGCGTGTCCATGCCATGTGGCGTATCAATTTTTGTCAAATATTATTTTTTTGCAAGACACATTGGGGACACTTTATAGACATGCACGTCTTGTGTTTGGACACACCTCAAGACACCTTTGTGGTTTTTTTGTTTTTAATAATAATTTTATAAAACTGATTTGGGGTAAAGTAAAATATATGGAAACAAAGAGGGGAAAGAATGACATAATAGAAATAGACCACATATACATTGATTTCTCATATATCTTTGTGTCTCAAATTTGTTTTCATATATGTAGCAAATAAAAATATATAGAAATTTCATTTTTTTGCTATATTGCCGTTATATCTGTTTCCAATTTTTTTCAAATATATTTGTACCCACGCCTATATCTGTGCCCCTATCCGTGTCCTTGCCCATGCTTGTCACTTCTTGTTCATACTTTACGGGAATTTGTCTATTTATGTGGAAATGCTATTTAAAATTCTGTACTTTTTGTTAGAAATGGCAATACGAAAGGATTGACGGCAAAGTTGGTGGGGCTGAAAGACAAATTCGAATAGATCGGTTTAATGCCAAGAATTCTACCAGATTTTGTTTTTTGCTGTCTACTAGAGCTGGAGGTCTGGGAATAAATCTAGCAACAGCTGACACAGTTATTATATATGACAGGTAACTATTAGTGTTCCTGTATTTGATTATTATATTCTTTTTTCTGTTCTCCTCTGTAACTGTTTGTGGAAGACTGACAGTAATTGTACAAGTTAATGTTAGTGTTATTAGTGTAATATTAATGTAATACAGGTGCACTATTTAGCTGTCCCACTCATGTTGTTGTATAACTAATGTTGTATCTTTATGCTTTCGGTGGGTTAGCATCCAATGTACCCTATTTACTCTCTATAAATGAGAGTGTTGTAAATCACTGACATATATCTATCAATACCCAATTTATTCTCTCTCTTTCTCTATACATTAATTCTAACATGGTATCAGAGCGAGGTTAAGAACCGGGCGGCAGCCTCGTCTTGGCCGCCCGCCGCTGCCACAAATTATTCTTCTTGATCTTGATCTTCTTGTTGCTGCTGCTGCAGTAGTTTCTAACAAATTCCATCTTGGTCACCTCCACTCCACTCTTCTTCATCACCTCGCCGGAGCAAACCCAAAATCCCTCTGGGACATTTCGTCGAATACCATGTCTGCAACTCAACTCTCTTACTCTCTCTCTCCGAAAGGAAGCTGTCTCTCTCTCTCTGCTCTACGCAGATCACTGATGGTAACAACTCTCTCTATCACTGATGAGACACGGAGGACACACACACAAGGGCATGCATGTTTCTCCCTCTCTGCACCTCTCTCTCTCCTATCACACGCATAGATCTTACCCACGTCGTTGAGCACCCCGTCGGCCCAGCCGATAGCCAACCGGAGTTCCACTTTGTGCGTGTGACCATCTAGCTCGCGCGGCTTGCTTCGCGTTCTTCACCTGCAATGTCCCCACTGTCTTCAGCCGTGATCTGGCCAACGCCGACCACGCCACCTGTCACCACTGCTGCAAACTCTTTCTGAGATAAGAGATATATATTTTGTGTGAGCTAGCTCCAACCTTGGAAGTCAATCAAAAAGCTGGGTCATCCCCTAGTTTACTTTGCTGCTATTGCTCCCTCCATTCAGAGGCTGAATTTCAGCATAAGGATTCAATGTCACCCAGTTTATCATCCTTCGAATCTGAGACGTCTTCCCTCCAGATGGGGATGGCACTGCCTCAATACGGGAAAGGGTATAGCAGTCATAAAGGTTTTCACTTTTATTTCCAATCTCAATTGGCTTCATCTCAGCTGTTATGGGTGAAAATACTGCTCCTAGTCTGTCATAATTGTTTCAAGAAGCACATGGGCTCCTTTAGCTACTGCTGCAAGCACTTGGGATAGTTGCTATTTTAAAATCAAGTAAGTGGGTTTATTTATCATGATGGGGCCAGCAGAAGTTTTTTAGTGGAGATTATATGTGTGTTATATGGAGCATATCTGAACATTGTTTGGTCTTCAAGTGGGAATTGGAGGGATTTTAAACTTGGTAATGGAAAAGTGGGTTTGCCCCACGTCTTTGGTTGATAAGTGTGAGATAATGATGCTGTCCATGCCTTGGATAGTGGGCTACATGGGTATTCTTCTCCCACGTGCTGTCCATGCCTTGGATAGTGGGCTACATGGGTATTCTTCTCCCACGTGAGAGAAAAAGCTTTGCTATGGTGTTGCTTATTGCACCCCCACTCACAGCACGCCCCTCAACTTGTCTTCCTAAAACAAATATATCTTTATAACCCATACCCAGTCAACTTTTGCACAAATCATTCTGTTTCCCACTACTTCTTTTATTTTATTTTTATTTATCACCATACTCATCATTTCATCACCATCACCATATTTTATTCGATTTCCTTTCATAACATACAAATGCAAAATTCTTCAATTGCCGCTGCATATATTTACATTACCATTGTAGTTTTTACATTTTTCAGTTTCACATTCTCTTAAAAAAAAAAAAAAAAAAAAAAAACGCACACATTCAACACCACCTCACTGATTTTTGTGCTCCAACAACCTTGTACCATTCTTGCTATTCGGCTTGCACAACACCCTTGTTTTATTCCTATCAGGGATCCACCCCGCTCACTGTTCTACACCGGAAAAAAAAAAAAACCTTTCTCCTATTATTATTATTATTATTATTATTATTTTAACATCTCCATTCTGTGTTGAGCCGTTCCGCTCCACTTTATCACTCCCTTTGTTTCAACCTCCAATAGGTTTCTATCTTCAAACCGGGGGTTATACATATATCATGGTGAGCATGGTTACACACCATGCAAACCACCCAAGCTGATGAGCATGGTTATATACCATGGGAACCACCCATGGCGCACTCCCTAAGTCGCCCCCTTGGTGCACCATCAAAATGTTCTACATCGGTCCGACATGACTCCGTAAACTGTCCCGACATTGATTCCGGTTAACTTCTACAACGGTCCGGCATGACCCCGTAAACTGTCCCGACATTAATTTCGGTTAGCTTCTACATCGGTCCGGCATGACCCCGTAAACTGTCCCGACGTTGATTCCGGTTAGCTTCTACAACGGTCCGGCATGACCTCGTAAACTGTCCTGATATTGATTTCGGTTAGCTTCTACATCGGTCCGGCATGACTTCGTAAACTGTCCCGACATTGATTCCGGTTAGCTTCTACATCGGGCCGGCATGACCTCGTAAACTGTCCCGACATTGATTCCGGTTAGCTTCTACATCAGTTCGGCATGACCTCGTAAACTGTCACGACATTGATTCTGGTTAGCTGCTACAATGGTCTGACACGACCATACAGTGTCTCCTATCCTATTTTATTTTGTTACTCTCTCCAAACTCAAGTTGGTTAATGTTTATCCTCCTTGAGTTTGAGGGGGGCTGTTAGTGTTATTAGTGTAATATTAATGTAATACAGCTGCACTATCTAGCTGTCCCACTCATGTTGTTGTATAACTAATGTTGTATCTTTATGCTTTCGGTGGGTTAGCATCCAATGTACCCTATTTACTCTCTATAAATGAGAGTGTTGTAAATCACTGATATATATCTATCAATACACAATTTATTCTCTCTTACTCTATACATTAATTCTAACAGTTAAGAACTCTGAAAAATGTTTTGGGAGGTATTGAAGACACTACCTATTAGCAATAGGGTCATGCACCTATAAAAGGAGATGTTTGAAAGCAATTTTGGAAGGACATAGAAGGACTACTTGATATGTGGAGGATGTGTGCATTGTAGAAGACTCAAAATAGATGTTCATACAAAAAAATTAAAAAGATGACTTGACTTTTCTCATGGTGTGCCCCCTTTAAAAGTAACTGTGATGGTTGCACTACTTGGTATATGGCCTTGAGATCTTTTATTATTGTGGGCCATGTCCTCAGTCCAAGATCGATTAATTATTTTTATGGTAAAGAAACTTGAGTGTGGGTGTTTCAGTCAGCTGCTGTCTATTGGTTGTAGGGTTGTAGCTCTACGTAGAACTTGGTCCTATTCGCAACCGTTATTGTCAAATCGTGAATCATAAGATTCGTTTTATTTAACATGATATATAATTTTATATGTTTATATACATATGAAAAGACACAAATAGTTTTTAAAATGAAGTAAATATCAATATAACTAAATTCTATATATGTTTATACATATAAAACCACATATATCAATATAGCTAATTGATCTCTTCTATATATCTTGATAGTTTGGTGTAAACGATGTCATTTCATGTATTATGTAAACAAAAACAAAAATAGAATTGAATTGTGAATCATAATGAATCGTAGTGAATCGCCAATTGAATCGCACGATTCACTCAATTTCTCATTCAACAGTACGATTTGAATCGTTTTTGTTGAAACTCGTATCGAATTGTATGGATCAAATCATGAATTGTATGATTCTAACAACCATGTTCATAACCCAACATTCATGCTGCTGTCTATTGGTTGCTATAAGCCAACTAAGGAACCCTCAGGATGATATATCTTTTGAATCTTTCATTCCCACGGGGTGGGTCCAAGCAAGAAGACATATATTGATATTGGTGTTTGTTGTATTGTATTTTATTAAAAATTATTTTTTGAAGATAATTTAGAACAATTTTTTCTTAATATCATACAAAATGGGACATTTGAATAAACAGAACTAGATGCAATGCAAGATTCGTGAATAATGTGAAGACTAGAGAAATTTCTTTACTTGAATAGTTGTGTTGCTCCAATATATGCATTGAAGGACAGGCCCCAATGCCATTTTTGGTGGTAGGAATTTGAATTTTAATCTAAAATTGCGCTTGAAAGCACTAGAATACGGGAATGTGCACTATGGTGGGTCCTATAGCAACTTAGAAGCTTTTAGTAGGGCTATATTTCTTATTTACCAGTTGATTAAGAAGTTATTTGAGAAGAGAGTGATTTAGTTGTTTTTATTATTTATTTGATAACAATGTGATGTTGTTGTGTAAATACTTCCGGTGAATCTTGGGGAAATGAATTTACTTGCAAAACAATGGAATGAAAAATCTTACTGCTATGATCTTTAGTGAATACATTAGCCAACTAATCTTCTGACTTCACAATAGGCATACAAATTGAACCCTTATTCAACTTCTCTGTGATGAAGTGTTTGTCAAGTTGAATATGCTTGGTCTATCACGTTGAACTGGATTATAAGCAATATTGATGGTAGCTTTGTTGTCACAATACAACGTCATGGGTTCACCACAATAGATTCCATATTGTTTAGCGAGGACTGGAGCCACAAACTCACACGTACCATGAGCCATTAGTCCTATACTCTGCCCTTTGCACTAGATTTAGCAACCACTCCTTGGTTCTTTTTCTTACAAAGGTGTAGTAACCTAAACTAGATCGTTTATCATCTGTTGAACTTACTCAATCTGTATCAGTAAATGCCTCCAATTTCAAGTGACAATAGTTAGAGAACAAGGTCCCTTTCCTAGAAGTTAATTTAAATACCTTAAAATGCAATGGCCCTGTTTGGTAGAGCTGTGAGAAAGTACTTATAGCTTATGCGTAAACAGCTTATAGCTTATAACTTTCAGCTTAAGCTGATTTACAGCTTATTCTTAAAGCATCTCCTGCCCCACTCAAAGAATAAGCTGATTTCTGACTTCCACAAAGCTATAAGTTATAAGCTATAAGCTAAACTAAACACATCAAAATAGCTTAAATTAAGCTGAAAGCTGCAATAAGCTGTAAATAATTTCTACCAAACAAGCCTAATATATTGCATCGAAATGTACTAAATGAGGATAATACATGAACTTACTAATTACCCCCATTGCATATGCAATGTCTGGTTAAGTGTAGGACAAATATATGAGTCTTCACATGAGCTTCTAGTACCTCTCCTTGTCTATAGGATCACCAACATTGTTGCTTAGACGATGGCTAGTCTCAATTGGTGAATTTGCTAGTTTACAACCCAAATCGGTTTTGTCAAGTATACCAATATGATACTTGTTCAGAGTTTCAGTGAGTTTGGCTAAGAAATTGAGAAAATAATAAGGGAACTATTTGTGATAAGGCGGTGGTGATGAGAAAAAAAAATGGTAAGATAGGACCAAGTGTCTTCACCCAAGAGTAAGGGCGGGCTTAGTTTGGGTCACATTGTAGAAAAGAATATTGCACTACTTGGTAAAAGGTTATGGAGATTCCCACGAGAACATAATTCTTTATCGCATGCAGTTTATCAGGGGTAAAGATGGGGTTGCAGGTTAATAGATGGGATTCTCATATGACTGATTGGGGGATTATAGCTCTCCGTGTAAGTTTATTTCTCAAAGCCTATAGTGCTTTCCCTGTTCTCTCGTCTTGTTGTGGGCTATGACGTGTCCAAGTGTTAGACCTACTTAAATCTAAATTTTAGGATATTGGTATATGTATTCAAAAGTTGGGTATGGGTGCGTGGATGTCCTGAACACACATTTTGCATATTATATAATATTTTTTACATAAGATGATGTAAATTATTTTTAAATATACTTCTAAAGTTGCAATTAATAAGATTTAAAAAAGATACAAAATTTTTATCTCCCATCCATATGAGAGGCAAGAAATATTTCTTTACTAGTAGATCTGAACTTCTTTGTGAACTTCAAATCTTATATAAAATTAGAGAATCTAGGTATTTAAATTCGGTATTGGTGTCAAACACATATCCCACACCCTTATGCTTGTCATGTCCTCTTTTTTAGCCCTAAGCCCTTCCAATCTGTCATTTTCTTTTGAAACCATCACAAACACTAGTTTTCTTTAACCTACCACCATCATAGTTGATCCCACACTACAAATTCCTTCCACTCCCTAACCTACTTTCTTTTACTATCCTTGTCAGCCTTTAACCTTTGTTTCCGTGAAACCAATACTTTAATACATTTTCTTTTCTTCCTATTCTCAAGAATTACCAAAGCTTGACCCATATTTTCTAGAAGTTGACTCAACCGAACCAAACATGATTCATCGAGAGGAAAAGAAACATCAGTATTCATTTCTCTCTACCATCTTTTTTCAAGTATTAGTTGCCAAAAGAACACCACTCAAAGTTGTGATAGCCACTTGATTCATGTACTTTGTCAAAATCATTCACACAGGGGGGAATCTTTTCATTAAAAACATGTGTTTTTAAAATCCCAAGATTGCGTTGCCATGTGGATTTTTCAACATGATTTTGTTATCAATGGGATCCCCTTATGGCTTTTGTATTAATATGAAGGCTCGAGGTATCAGGAGTTGTGGGATTTTGTGCTATTTTTGGGGGAGATTTAGTTGGAAAAAATGCAAGAGTTTTTTGATACAAGTCTGAAGAAGTAGAAGGGCTATGGGATAAAATCTATTATTTGTTTTCTTTTTGGGCTTCGGTGGTATCTCCTTTTAGGGGGATCCGTCTTTATATATATATATATATATTTTATTATTATAGGGATTGAAAAGCAGTTTGCGAGATGTGATTTTGATATATATATATATATATATTTTCTTTTTGCTGGCAGACTTCTTATCCTCTCGTACTTTTTAATTTATTTTTTTTTTTTTAAATAATTTTTTTCGTTTTTCATAAAAAATAGTTTTGTTCCAAGAGGGAAGGATGGGTTAGTGGTGAATACACTATGTCTCATTTTTGTTATAATTATTCTAATAAAATGCTTATTTTTGAGCTATGAAGCACGGATACTTTTACGAAGGTGGTGCATGTATGTCATACCTGTGTCAGACACCAACACTTGTGTCAAACACTCCTCTAAACGTGTCTTATTTTATTTTTTTTAGTTTTTTTAGACTCAGACACTTTTCGGACACTTGGATGATACATGTGTCCATCACTTGGACACAAATGAAACTAATTATAAGTTTGAAAAAAACAACCAAGGTTGCAAAGATAAAAGAAAAATAAAGTATATATTTATAAAAATTAGTATTATGCATTTTTTTATAAAATTTTTGAATGACAAATTCATATATATGGCATATAATAAATACATAAAATTATTATGTGCGCATCCTCTCCATGTCGTGTCCTGCATTTTTTGAAAATTGTCGTGTCGGCGTATTTGTGTCGTTTCGAGTGTCTATGTCCATGCTTCTTAGTTTGTGAGGTACAGACTGAAGAAGATTATTTACCTATTAGTGAGATGGAAATTTTGATCTCTTAAAGTTTACTTCATCTTTTGTTGTTTAAAAGTACTCTCTTTTGGTTATTCTTTGTATTGTATTCATTAAATATTTTTTGATGCAGTGATTGGAATCCCCATGCTGATTTGCAAGCAATGGCTAGAGCTCATCGACTTGGGCAAACAAATAAGGTAAAATTTCATTCTTCAGTAGAGTCCAGGCAGACACTTCTGTTGGTTGCCTTCATGTATATATGGTTCTGGTAATTTCTTTCCATATTGCAGGTAATGATTTTCAGACTCATAACAAGAGGAACCATTGAAGAAAGGATGATGCAGATGACGAAGAAGAAAATGGTTTTAGAACATCTAGTTGTTGGGAGGCTCAAAGCACAGAATATTAACCAGGTAGAGTATTTTTATTTTTATTTTATCTTTAAGTATAATGAAGTTTACCTATTAATATGTCTAGGATGAGAACAAATTTTCTAGCTCACTTACCCATCGAAGTCATCCCCAATAATTAACAATCTTGTTTGTGACTGTTCTTGTCTGCATTATGGTCCTGTTCTTTTGGGACATGCTTCCATTTCACTATCACTTTTTAATTTTTGATTTGATGTAACATTGTTTACTTATGGGATGGTAGATAAATAGTAAGCATTTACATACTCTAATGTAATGCTGGTCAGGTGTCTCTATGATGATGCTGGCATGTTGTTTGCAGTAACCGTATTGTTTATTTATTTATTTATAATTAGGATACTACTTAGTTTTTCTGTAGGTGATTTTAATTACATGATATTATTCTTAGAATCATAGATATTTTAAAATACTGTTAAAACTATTAAATTAATTAGAGATTTTACAACGGAAAAGATACCTCACAGGTTTTATTGTTGCTACAAATTTTACATTTGAAAAGATACATAAAAGTATTAATATCGATTGGCTTGGGTGAATCTATCAGGGATATCCAAATACACTCACAAAGAACAAGGACTGCCAAATATGTTTTTCATAAGCGATGCGATATTTTTCTTTTCAAATTGTCCATACAATGCATTCTTCCCTACCATCTTTGTTTTCTTGTTTCCTTAATTCTTTCTTTTCTGTTTCCTTCTCCCTTGGGCATCATCATCATCATCATGTCTAAAATTTCTCATTTGGGAATCCTCTCAAAGGTTAAGTAGAAGATTAATATCTGCAACCAAAAAATATATGTAGATATATGAAAAAAAAAATTCCTTACTCTTTTTCTTTTTTTTTTTAATGTGAAAGAATTGGGATATTAGTTAGTTGCTATCATAGGGGCTGTCTATGTTACATGGACTCGGGTAAGTGTGTCGGGTGTGGGTATGTATCTAGAGGTCGGACTCATCAAACCATAAATTTAAGGGTATGCAGACTCGGCAAAAAAATGTTATATTTTATATTTTTAATCAAGTATGTAAGATAAAATAGTATTATATGTAACTTATAGTGTCAAAAATACATTTATAACAATTATATAACAATATGTACATATAATAATAGTGTGATATACAATTATATAAGAAGTATCCGTTGAAAAGTATCTAACACATATCCCATACCTTTGTCCGAGTGTCGGGTGTCCGACACGGATATTTGATTTATTTTGAAAAGTCTTTGTAACATAGCGGGCTATTTGGTGCAGCTTCAGCCTATGTTACATGGACTCGGGAAAGTGTGTCGGGTGTGGGTATGTATCTAGAGGTCGGACTCATCAAACTATAAATTTAAGGATATGCGGACTCGGCAAAAAAATGTTATATTTTATATTTTTAATAAAGTATGTAAGATAAAATAGTGTTATATGTAACTTATAGTGTCAAAAAGATATTTATAGCAATTATATAACAATATGTACATATAATAATAGTGTGATTTACAATTATATAAGAAGTATCTGTTGAAAAGTATTTGACATAGATGCCATACCCTTGTTCGAGTGTCGGGTGTCCGACACGGGTATTTGATTTATTTTGAAGAATTTGTGTAACATAGGCTTTAGCTTGTATGAGTTGCTTGTAGTTTTTTTATTATTTATTATTTATTTTTATTTATTTGGGTGCTTGTGCCAGACTGGTGGTGCATCTTCTTCTTATTTGGAAGAAATGGCTTAAATAAGCGGAAAAATGATGGGGTGGCTTTTTTGAAGTTAGGGGAGGGGTGTTTTTGGCTTTGGAATTTTGATTATTGGCTTTCAATTTACATAAAGTTGCACCAAACATGCCTTAATCTCTTTAGCAGAATAGCTGCCATCAAGAAATTAATGAGTCATTGAGTGGTTCAAGCCATCACCAATGCGGGTTTGGATGAGAGATTGTTTCAAATGATGGGGTGGCTGCCAAAGTAATTTTTTCTAATTAAGATTATCCTTGCTATTATTGAAGTAAGACGAGTGCAGGGAATACTCTAATTGTAGTGAGGCTAAAACTAATTTGATGCAACAAAATATGTAGGCTGTTGTGTTCATTTTAGTTACCAGAGCTCTCCCCCATACATTGTTGTCAAATCGTGAATTGTTTTCCTCAAATAGTGAATCGTGAATTGTAAGATTCAAGTTTGGGAATTCGTTAATTTCAACCGTAACTCATTTGAGATTAATTGGAAGTATATGAAGTCAAGGTTTTAGCTTTAGATGAGTCTTATTTTAGGTTTATTTGGGTTGATTTTAAATCTGACTTTTTATGTGTTATCTAATGGTTTAAAAGTTAGGGGTAATTTGGTAATTTTAGATTTTTTGGATATGGTCTGAAGGGATCACTCATGAGCCTCATATGGATCAAGCTATGTTAATTGGATTTTTATTATGGGTGTTATTTGGTTTTAGAAGTCAAATGTCTTAGTTTCTAAATAGAAAGTCAAAATCATATTAGGACAAGGAGTTCTTAAAGTCTAATAAAGCCATGTAATGTTTCTAATTCAATGGAGAACATGTTTTGGATAACTTTGTGAAGCTTTTGAAGCTCTTATATGTATTGTGTGATGCAATCAAACTTTATGTTTGATGCCCAAGGCTTCTAGGAGTGGTTTCTAGAATTTATTTCTTCTTTATGACTTTCTGCATCTTTAAGTCTTTGATCTTGTAACCAGATCTGTTTAAACCTCCTTTAACTCCTAGGCATCCTATGTCACAAGCTTAACCCATACCCTTCCTTGAACATTCAACCCTAGTAGCATAAAGCCACAAAATCAGCAGTATTACTGTTTCCAAGGTACTGTTCATGGAGCAACCCCAGAAAAGTCCCTAAATCTCATATTTTATTCACAAAATCTGACCCTTCTGTTGCAACTTTTAAAACCCTAAAATCTTTATATTTTACCTCCCACCCAACTTTTGAACCAATTAAGATTAGCCTCAAAATAGCCCTTTGCATCAAAGTGTATTATTAATTTTGGGCTCATTTCTGGTTGTAAAGTTTTCCCCCACACTCGTCTTACGTGAATTAGTCTTCTTATTTGTTGTTGCCGTTACTTTATCCCTCCAATGTGCATCCAATCAGCTAATTTTGCTATAATTTAGTTGCATATTATTTCCCATTCGGAAATATGTTTCTTGTATATGTTAATATGTGTCATTTATGGATTTGGAAATTCATTTTGCCCAATAAAACGGTGGATTTTAACATAGCCCTTTGCATCAAAATGTATTATTAATTTTGGGCTCATTTCTGGTTGTAAAGTTTTCCCCCACACTCGTCTTACGTGAATCAGTCTTCTTATTTGTTGTTGCCGTTACTTTATCCCTCCAATGTGCATCCAATCAGCTAATTTTGCTATAATTTAGTTGCATATTATTTCCCATTCGGAAATATGTTTCTTGTAGATGTTAATATGTGTCATTTATGGATTTGGAAATTCATTTTGCCCAATAAAACAACCCCTATCCTTGAACATTTAACCCTAGTAGCATAAAACTACAAATCAACACTATTACTGTTTTTAAGGTACTGTTCACAGCACTGGAGCAGCTCTAGAATAGTCTCCAAATTCTTGCATTTTCATTTGTAAAACTTTGCCCTTTTGTTGCATTGTACGAAACCCTAAAATCTCCATATTGACTACCCTTCTAGCTTTTGAAAGCAATAAAAATCAACCCCAAAATAGCCCTCTCTAGCGCTGTGTCATATTAAGTTAGGGCTCACTACTAGTAGGAGAGTATTTCCCTCACTCATCCTACCTCAATTAATATTCTTGTTTGTTGCCATTATTTTATCCCTCCAATGTGGATTGAATCAGCTAATGTTGGCTATGATTTAGTTGTATCTTATTTCCCACGTGTCATATATGGATTTATTAATTCATGATTCCCAATATATAGCGTTCTGCAGAATTGCATATTTCTGAAACCTGAAAGCCACATTCCATTGATGTTGGTACTTGGGAATTGGGTTGTTGTTATAATATGGTTTTGTGGGATCAGTTCAATTTATGCTGCAATAAAGCTGTGAAATTTGTACCATGATTGAAATTGCTCACCCACATACATCACCGGGTGCAGCTGAAGTTGTATGATGTTCATTGATGCCTTTTTCATTGCAAGTATGGTTGTGTGTGTGTGTGTGTGTATTTGTACTTGGCATGGAAGAATAAATATGAGTTGTGCTGTTTTAAATTATGCATCAAGAAAGAACACATTTTGAATCCCTGATAGTTTCTATTTTTTAAAAGTTGATGAATGGTGAGATTGTTTTAATTTGAATTTAGGAAGAATTAGATGACATCATAAGGTATGGCTCAAAAGAGCTATTCGCTGATGAGAATGATGAAGCAGGAAAATCCAGGCAAATCCATTATGATGATGCTGCAATTGATAGGTAGCGTTTTCTACTCTATGGCTAATTGTTCATGGTATCCAATTGAGTTTTTTTTTTTTTTTTGCAATATTAATGGTTATCCGTTGTTAGGTTACTTAATCGTGACCAAGTTGGAGAAGAAGAGGTCACTTTGGATGATGAAGAAGAAAATGGATTTTTGAAGGCTTTTAAGGTTTATCATTCTCTACAGTATTTCTTCATGTGTTTGTAGGAATGTGCATCTAGTTACCTGCGTAATGCTGTTTTTTGACACTAGTGAGCAGCATATTTGATATTGTTTTGTTGTAACCTACTTCTTTCTTTCTATTTAGTTGTATTTTATTTCACTTCATTAGTAGGCATCAAAATGTCTAGTGAATATTGTTCCCTATTATTTTTACATGGTTATTTGATGTAATTGGTTGGTGGTTCCAACGACTACAATCAAAGGTGATCATTGTTGGAGATTGCACGGTCAATTTTTTTTCAGACTGCTTTAAATTCATTCCTTCTAGGGGCGTTCATGGGTCAGATTGAGTCGGGTTTACCATATTTACCAGTCATCCGAACCACCCACCTTGGGTTGAACAGGGAGTCATCTTCTTCCCCATATTCAAACAACCAAGCTCAATGCCCTTCAGTATCTTTCAAGGGGAAAAAAAAAAAAAAAAAAAAAAAAACTCCTTTGGCTGCAGCATCATGTGTAAGTTCTAAAATTAATTTCAGAGCGGAGGTGTTGAGAGGCAAGAGACTGAGAAGTGAGAGGTGAAGGGACTGATCTGACCATGGGGCTGATCTGATTGTTGTTGTTGTTGGATCCGATGATCATTGTTGTTGTTATCTGATCTGAAGGAACTTTGGGTTTGTGAAATTGTAGATCGTGATCCATGGGAGTTGAAAGACATGTTTGAGAGAGAACAGAGGATAGATAGTTAATTGAGAGAGAGAGAACATAAGTATTTGTTCGCTTAGCCTTACTCTTCTTCTTCTCCTTCTTCTTTTTTTCTTTCTTTATTATTATTATTATTTTTTAAATGTGTACTTTGCTCTCATTGTTGAATCTGCTAACCTCAAGACTAGAGGTGGCAATCCTAACCCGAACCTGCCCACAATTTATGGGTATAAACCTGCTTGTTTATCAAGTGTGTCAAATGGGTTGTTAATGTGTCATTGAAAAAATTATTACAAATGTGCAGTGCAGAGGTTTCAAACCCACGTGTACCCGTAAACAAGCAAGCCAACCACTCCACCACGTGTTCACTACTGCCAATTAATTAGCTATGTTTATTTTATTTATAACAATTCTGACAAGTGCCTGTTATCTCTCCTATCTCTATGGTTGTGCACATCTATATATCTACATAGAAAAACAAATATATATTTTGATATAGATGTGTTTAGGTTGGTTTTTTTTTATTGAATGTTATTTTTTCCTTTTCTAATTTCTTCAGTTTAAATTCTAATCATTAAGAAAAAGAAATACTTTTTGATTTTATTCTTGTCTCTTTTTTTTTTTTTTTTGGGTTGAAAAGTGGTTGTATCGTTTTTTATTTTTTATTTTTTAATCATGATTTATATCCAAACTTTTAAGTCCACCTGAAACCTTTATATAAAAATGATTATGTTAATCCAAATCATAAGATTTAATTTTTTTTTTCCCCTTAAATACATGACTATGTATATGTATATGTAATTCTCTAAAAGTTATTTTTGACATTTTTTTGTTTGTAGAAAAATATTTTTAAAGAAAAACTTGCATATGGTACAAAAATGAGTACAATAAAGTAAACGGGTTGGTCGGGTTGATGTGTCCAACCCGTACCCAATTGAACCCAACCCGTTTAAACCCAGTTATTAAATGGGTGGTTTGGGTTGAGTTGCTTTAAATACATAATCCGTTTTGACCTGCCCATTTGCCACCTCTACTCAAGACCCAGAAAACCAATTGCACTCCTGGGAAGTTATGTGACCAAGAATGCGAGCAAAGTTGAACTAACAAAATGTACAAGTCACTACAAGCTGTAAGTTATTCTGACTAATTGTTATGTAATTTTTTCTTAGGTGTTGCAATGGTTTTCACTGATTACTATTAATGATTTTGGACCTTAACTAGATTGTCCAGAAGAGATTATATATCTTAAGACATCATATTTATATTTGCTGCTCCAACTGGATATTTGGCTTCTCTATCTTTTATTTATTTTTTAATTATTTATTTATTTTTTGGTATTTTGTACTTTTTCTTATTGGTTTCTAAGGAAACTAAAGTTGCACATGTGCTTTAGGTTGCAAATTTTGAGTACATTGATGAAGTGGAAGCAGCTGCTGAAGAGGAAGCACAAAAGGCATCAACTGAAAGTAAACCTACAATTAACAACCCAGAGAGAGCTAGTTACTGGGAAGAGTTGTTAAAAGATAGATACGAAGTGCACAAGGTTGAAGAGTTCAATGCTATGGGCAAGGGGAAGAGAAGCCGTAAGCAGGTATGTTATATTATTTTAGCAAGGTACATATTTTTAATCAGTTTGATTTGGTACATTATTTTTCTAGTCAGTTTGGCTTGGTTTTACTATTTTAACTTTTGTTGCTTAAGACTTGTCTTCTATGGAATAGCCCTTTTTTAGTGAATGATGCTGTTTCTTCATTGAAGAATTACCTAATCCACATTGTGTTCGTCCCAATTTATCAATCCTTGTCCTGTTCCTTTCTGTTTCGTTATTTCTTGTGGCACATTATGTGTGCTTTGTCATTTGAATTGGTATTTCAAATTGAGCTTCTTTGAAACCATGTAGTGTGTTAAATTTCATTTGCTTTGGAAGTGGAATTAATACCTGAAATGTTACAGAACAAATAGTTATTGGGGACTTCTGCTCTACAACTAATATTCAATAATCCTGTTCAAAAATTGATATTGCTGGACATCAATGTGACCATCTCTGTGTACAGTCCAGCATAAATGTTTCACCTGACCACTTTAGAACAAGCTGGATTTCTGATATTTACTTTTCTGTTGGGCTCTTAACACTCGTTCAGATGGTGTCTGTTGAAGAGGAGGACCTTGCTGGTCTGGAAGATCTTAGTTCTGATGAAGAAGATGACAACTATGAAGCTGAGCCAAGTGATGGTGAAACAGCTTCAACAGGAACTCCAGCTGGAAGGAAGCCTCACAAAAAGAAAGCCCGTGGTATAGTTTTGCATGCCTAATATCATGATGACTTAATCAAAAGAAGTCGATGGTTATGCTTGATAATATAACAAAACCTTTCCCAATCTTTTGCAGTTGAACCACTTCCCTTGATGGTCGGTGAAGGGAGATCGTTTAGAGTTCTGGGATTTAATCAAAATCAAAGGGCTGCGTTTGTTCAGATTTTGATGAGGTCTAGTTTAACATGTATCTTTTAATGCAGACACTTCAACTTATTTTATTAGTAGATCTATGATATATGCTGGATGAATGAGATGCTTCATTTTAATACTACATATAGTTGCTCTTATACAAGTTTGTAACAATTTAGCTTGTTTTACAGATTTGGGGTTGGGGAGTTTGACTGGGCAGAGTTCACCCCGCGCTTGAAACAGAAGACATATAAAGAAATTAAAGAGTATGCAATATGTTCTTCATTTTAATTTGGAATTTTCTTGTTTAGTTGCTTATAATGATGGCAATGTTACTTAAAGTGAAATTGCAGCATTTAATCAGTCACATTATAGTATGGTGCAAATGTCTTGCAATTAGATTTAGAGAAAAGAAATAAAAACAAAATAGAAGATGATGATGAAGGCCGAGAGAGGAAGATGTGAGACAAAAGAGAAAATGAGAGTACTTAGGGTTCTCTGCCTCATTCCATCATATTTATATTAATAACGCTCAAAACACAAAACCTAACACTTGCATTTTCTTAGAAAAAGAAGAAAGATGGAACATAAATACATAGAGGAGGACAAGAACTCCCGAAGGGAAAACAGAATTGTCACAAACAACTACTAATCGAAAACAGAGAAACCCCCTTAAAACCGACGATATGGTAACCACAAAAAAAGAAGTCAAATAGAAAACATCTTTCCAAATTCCTCAATATCCTCTGAAACTTATCTTCAAAAGTTCATGCATTTGTTTCCAACCTAATTACCCGATGCACTATTCAGATGGCACTCTTCCACATAACTTGAGCTTTCCTTTGAGAACCAAACCCCTTAAAAACCAATAATAAACAGCTGAACACAAGATATAGCCAAACCAAATAATTTCCACCATCAAGCCAATGCTATAGGGAAATGCACTAATAAGTGGTCAATATTCTCCTTCTCCCTTCTGCATGTAACATAGCACAACATGGAAGACATAAATTGAGATTAGGTCTCATGATTTGAATCATGTCATTAGTAATAAACATGGTTCTAAATAGCCGTATTAGGATACAAATCAGTATCAATTGTGATGTAACAGTATCTAAAGTATTGAGCAATAAGTATTGGGAATCAGATGATGTGGTTGTGAAGTTTTAAAAACTCCCCTAAAATTCAATGAGACACAATTTTTGACACAAACATAAATTGTCATATTTTAATCAGTGTATTGATATATAGAATCATTTTTAGTTAATAAGATAACAAAATCAAACCCATTACCAGAAAAAATCACCACACAAATCCCACTTACAACCGACATTAGGCATAATTCTTAAAAATTATATATTTGTTATTCTACATGTTGTCACTATAACCTAGTCATTTTGCATTTAGAAAGCTACAAATTATTTTATCAATAACATTATATCTCAAAGAAAATGGACATGTAGGAAGTAAATTTAAAAAGTTTACAACCATTCAAATTCTTGAAAAATTAAAATTCCATGACATTGGGAAATTTTAACAAGGATCATAGATGCAATGGGAACATTGTGAAATTGAGAAAGATAGTGCATTCAAGAAATAAATGATCAAATGAAACATCACCCTTCCAAATATCTTTCCAAAAATGACATGCTCCCTATTCCCACAACAAAGTGAACAAACTGAGAGAACCAAGAAATACCTTGAGAAATAAATTTCCAGAGATAAAAAATTCCCTAACTAACCACATGAGTACCCCAACCATTATCTTGAGTTCCATACTTTTGATGATTGCATGCCCTAATGAATTGTGCTCAATAGGAAATCTTCATAACTACTTACCAAGTAAGGTAATTTTCTTCTCCACAATGTGCACCAAAGTGAGACCCCCTTTGATCTTAGGATGATAAGCCACATCTTAATTAATCAAGTGGTCTTTCCTTCCTTCACCACTACCTTTCCACAACAAATCTATCATCATATTCTCAGTTCTATTTGGCGCGCTCTCACTGGAACTCTGAACAACGAGAGATAGTAAAAGGGCATACTGAACCCAATCAACTCTAAACAACGAGAGATACTTCACAAGACATACTAAACCCAAGTGAATCAACCCCGTTCAGAAACTAAGGCCCTACTTCCACCTATTGAATTTCTTACCAATCTGTTCAATCACTGGATTCCAAAAGTTTTCGAACCTAAGATTTCCTCCTAAGGGAAGCCTGAGATACTTCAAAGACAAGGACTATGTGACAACCCAACATCCGCGACAAACCCAATAACCTATTTTCTGGAAGATTAATCCTAACAATTGAGCTCTTATTCATATTGACCTTCAAGCCAGAAACTTTTCAAAACATCTTAATATGACAAGAAAATTAACTTTTAGTAGCAGGAAACTCCTATGGGGCCTCGCCTCTAGCCCTAGAACCTTGTTTAAACTCTTCTATAGGGCCCCCACCCTTAAACTCTTCCATGGGCCCCTATTCTTGTTTCGTGTAACTATGAATTATTCAATTTAGCCTCCTTCAGAGAAGAGAGAAAAATCATATCATCTGCAAACTATAAATGACACGCTAAAATGCTATCCCTACTTACCACGAAGCCCTCCATCAAACCCACATCCTTGGCCTTATCCACCAATCTACATAAAATATCAACCACCAAAGTGAACAAGGGTGGAAATAAAGGGTCAACCTCCCTAAGACCTCTATTGGGTTTGAAACCACCTCCCTTCCCATTAACAGTAACTAACATGTTCGAATTAGTTAAACAACCTTTAATCCATTTCCTCTTATCTATTTCCAAATCCTTTCTTTATACATTATGAAATCCAAAAATGGATCAACATGATCGTAAGCTTGCTTGAAACTAAAATCTTAGAAATCACAACTTCCTTACCATGATACCTATACTCTTACTCTTCCATTACTTTATTTGCTACTAACGCAATTCCCGGCATTTGCCTACCCTCACAAAAGCTGCTTGGAAGGGAGAAATTGCATCACCCAAAACAACTTTAATCTTCTAGACAACAACTTTGGTAATATTTTATATAAAGAAGTGCCAAGATGGAAATAATTTTAAAGGGTGCCACTAAAAGGGGATGCAACCCCATCAGAAGCTCAAATTTGGATAATGAATGCATGAACTGGGAATATGAATAACATGGAAAGGTTATGGAGGAAGTTAAAGTTCAATTGAACGAAGTACGACAGACTATAGACAGAATGTGAGTTTTGAATTTGAAGAGAGCTTGTTGTTTTTGCCCTTTTGAGGTTTTTTTGTTGCATTTTTTTTAATCACATGATACATTGGTCTGTGTTGAATCTTTGTTATCCAGATATGGGAGACTTTTCTTGTCTCACATCGCCGAAGATATTACTGACGCACCAACCTTTTCAGGTGATTATTTATTCTCATTGGTTTTTTGGATGCTTTTTCCGCATCTCTTATGTCTTACATTTTTCTTTCTTTCTTTGGTTCACTATTAAGCATTTGTTTCAATATATTATTCTGGCTGCAGACGGCGTTCCTAAAGAAGGACTAAGAATACAAGATGTACTCGTTAGGATTGCAGTTTTACTTCTGATAAGGGACAAAGTAAGTTCTGTATGTTTGATAAAAGTGTTCTACATGGTTAGCTGTTGTATATTTATCTAAATTATAACACTTATTTAGCTTTGGGTTTTGAAAATGTGGTTGAATTGGTAATCATCTTAGGGATTTGATTCATGTGCACTATTCTTCCCATGTTCCCTTATTGGAAATTGTGTTTAAATAGTGAGGCCTGGTTTATCCATTTTCAACTTCCTAATGAATAGGTGTAGGATGTATGACAATAGTTTCAGGCCTTGGTGTTTTTCAAATGTCTCCATCGGAAAATAATGCCATTATAAACTTTTAATTTACAAAACAAATATGCACTTTGACATGGATTGAAAAATGGGTAGAAATTTTTTCCAATCTATATTAGAAACTGATGCCAACAGTTCCGTTGATGGTGCCTTAAACATTTATTAAGCAATCCTTAAATGTAATGGTTGTTTCAATGAAGATTTACAAATCTCCGATGTGTTGAACATTCTATATAAGTGTTTAAAGGAATGGGGTTTTTGTGTTTTCTCATCCCTATTTACTAAATAGAACAGAATCTTAGTTAACATAGAAACACAATGCCTCAAACACATGTGAGATTTGACTGAATGTTCTGCATCTAAGTGTGTCTGTTATGTGTGTTTGGATGAAAGAAAATTTCAGTCCCAAGTGTTTAGTTTGCCTTCACTCAAAGCTTCTTTTCATTGTTGCCAGAAGCTAGGACTTGGACCTTAGGCTTCAAATGGTTGCTTTAGTTTGTGGTGTCTAATCAAAGTTAAGAGTTTGGCTGAGATTAAGACTGATGACTACTAGTCATCTCTGGTGTTGAAGTAAGATTGATATATTGCATTATCAACATGATGCCTATCTGATACAAACAAATTTACAATTAGAGTCCAAAATCAAGAGAGAGAACTAAATATCCAATTAGAGGTAAACCCCTAAGGGTTAGAGAGAGAACCAGAGCACTTTGCTCTAATTAATGTCAATATTCTTCATTTAAAAGATAAGTACAATTGATATTACTGTTTATTTGGGAGAAAACTAACTTAGAGAATGATTAGACAATCACCCCCCTTTATATTTATAATAGGTAGCTTACAATGAAAACCTTGGAGGCACAAATAAGGAAATAATAGAATAAGGAAATAACAGCTAATAGAATAGGAAAGTCCTAAGGCACTAATTAAGAAAACAAATAATAGGATAATCTTAACATATATTCTAACACTTTTCCTCAAGTTGGTGCAAAGATATCACTCATGCCTGGCTTGTCAAGAATATCATGAAATAGTTTACTACCAACTCCCTTGGTGAGAATATCTGCAAGTTGTTCACCAGACTTCACAAATGAAGTACATATTGTACCATAAGTGAACTTCTCTTTAATGAAGTGACGATCAATCTTAGCATGCTTTATCCTGTTATGTTGAACAGGATTGTGAGTCATGTTGATGGCAGCCTTTTTATCACAATATAGCCGCATGGAGTCTTTCTGGTCGATTCCCAGATTATGCAATAATAACTTGATCCACAAGAGCTCACACACATCTTGTGTCGTAGCTCTAAACTCAGCTTCTATACTAGACCTAGCAACCACATTTTGTTTCTTACTTCTCCAAGTAACCAAATTGCCTCCAACAAAAGTACAATACCCTGAAGTGGACCTCTTATCAGTTATTGATCCTACCCAATTAGCATCCATATAAGCTTCCACACTAAGATGATTATGTTTGAAAAAATAAAGACATTTTTCAGGAGAAGATTTCAAGTATTTCAAAATTCTCATAACTGTTGCCAAGTATATTTTATAAGGAGGATGCATAAATTGGCTAACCACACTAACAGTAATATCAGGATGAGAATGAGCTAAGTAAATAAGGTTACTCACTAGTCTCTGATAACTCCCCCTATCAACGGTTGCTTCCCCACTATCATCACAAAGTTTCTGATTAGGTTCCGGTGGTGTGTCATAGGCTTTACTTCTAAGCATCCCTGTTTCCTTCAACAAGTCAAGGTCATATTTTTTTTGATAGATGAAAATCCCATCTTTGAACCTAACCACTTCAATGCTCAGAAAGTATTTTAGGTTCCCCAAGTCTTTGATTTCAAACTCACTGGCCAAATACTTCTTTAACAAAGGGATTTCCTCAACATCATCTTCTGTAAGCACTATATCATCCACACATACAATGAGTGATGTAGTCTTACCATGAGAGGAATGTTTAACAAACAAAGTATGATCAGCCTGACTCTGTTAGAAGTCTTATTTTAGCATCGCCTGAGTGAATCTCTCAAACCAAGCCCTAGGGGATTGTTTGGGGCCATATAATGACTTCCTAGTCGACACACCTTACCTTTACTTTGAAGAGTTTCAAAGCCAAGAGGAATGTCCATATACACCTCCTCTTTTAGGTCACCATGCAGAAAAGTATTTTTCACATCAAAATGATGAAGTGACCAGTCCAGATTAACTGCCAGAGATAGAAGTATTTTGACTGAACTCATCTTTGCAACATGAGCAAATGTCTCTTGGTAGTCGACCCTATAGGTTTGAGTGAAACCCTTTGCCCCAAGTCAAGCCTTATATCGCTTAATTGAACCATCTACCTTGTGCTTCACAGTATACACTCATTTGCATCCCACAGTTCGTTTACCCCTAGGTAACTCAGTCAAATCTCAAGTTCCATTCTTATGAAGTGTTTTTATTTCCTTCACCATGGCCAGTTTCAACTCAGGAATATTAAGAGCATCTTGGGAATAATTAGGTATGCTAACAGAGGAAATTTTTGACACAAAGGCTTTTTATGAAGAGGACAAATGAGAATAAGATACAAAGTTAGAAATAGGATGATGAGTATTAGATCTCACGCCTTTTCTCTTGGCAATGGGGATATCAAGATCAGTAGGCTCAGATTCAGAGGTAGTACTATCAGGAGTTTCAAGGTTACCTAAACTTTCATCAAGAGAAAGAGACAGCTGTGATTGATCAGAAATGGTTTCTTGTATCCAAGTAATTTTCTGCCTTTCTTTATCCTTGACATAGACTTGCCTTTCTCTATTCTTGATAACATCGAATTCTGTATTGCTAGTAATAGATATCACTGGAGGTGATACTGGGCCATGAACAATAGGAGCAATAATAGGTACCGCTGGTGGCAGTATTAGGTCAGGAATAATAGAAGCAATAGGACTCTCTTCACTCCCAGCCAGACTCCTCTTGAAGAGATGACTGGGACACTGGTCGAGAAAAAAAGTAGGATTAAGACTCAAAGAATGTGACATCCATGGACACAAACCATTTATGAGAGGGAGGATGATAACACTTGTACCCCTTTTGAGTAGGAGAGTAACCTAAGAACACGCACTTGAGAGAACGAGGATCCAACTTACCCTGAGAAGGAGAATGATTGTGAACAAAACACACACATCCAAAGAGTTTTGAAGGAATGGAAAACAGAGACTCGAAACCTAAGAGAACTTGAAGAGATGTCTTTTTTTGTAAGATTTGTGTAGGAAGACGGTTAATGAGATATGCAGCAGTGAGAAGAGCCTCGGCCTAATAGGCCCGAGGTATGCCCATAGAAAAACACATAAAGTGAGCCATATTAGGGAGATGACAATTCTTGCGATCGGCAACCCTCTTCTATTGAGCGGTGCTAGTGCAAGATGTCTGGAAAATGCCATGAGTGAAAAACTATTTTGCCAACATAGAATCAATGTACTCACCCTTATTATCAAAACACACTATTTTGACAATCGCCCCAAATTGGGTACTAACCATCTTATGAAAGTTTTGAAATATAGAAAAAATCTTACTTTTTTGTTTCACGAGGTACACCCAAATAGAACGAGAGCAGTCATTTATAAAAGTAACAAATCATCGATGATCTTTCATTGACATCACATGAGGGGGACCCCAAACATCCGAATGAATTAAAGAAAAAAGAACTGTAACTTTTATTATTATTAGGAGCTAAAGAGGTTCAATATTGTTTGCTAAGTTGGCAGGACTTGTAATGAAATTCAGAAACTTTATTTTTGATAAAAACAGAAGGGAATAAATAAGTAATAAAAAGGATGGATGTCCTAGATGTTGATGCCACAGCCATAAATCTTCCTTGGTGGATGGAGACAGAATGAAATGATAAATCTAATGGTCAGACTGATTGAGGATATAGAGATCATTTCCTGTTCTACCGCTGCCAATCGTCTTCTTTGTGACAAGGTCCTGAAAAAGACAAGAATCAAGAAAAAAAAGTTGTACTAAAATTCAAATCTCTAGTAAGATGACTCAATGACAATAGGTTAACAGAAAAATTAGGAACATGTAAAACAGAAGACAAAGGTAGAGAAGGGGTGGCGTGGATTAAACCTTTCTCGGAGACGGAAGAAATAGTACCATCAGCAATCTTAACTTTATCCTGACCAGAAGTTGGTGTATGGTCTGAGAAGAGATCAGAAGACCCAAACATATGATCTAAGGCACCAGAATCAATAATCCATAGCAAGGCCTTATGGGATAAGAAAACACTAGAAGATGTGGCTAAGTTACTTGAACGGGCAAACGAAGAAGAAGCAGAAGATGCACCTGGAGAAACAGGAGTTTGACAATCAAGTAGATTGCACAGAGCATCCTCAAACTTAGAAGATGACATACTAGAGACCAAATTAGAAGTCTGTATAATCAGAGCTGAATCATGCATCTCTACAACACTAGACTGATGAGCACGAGAGTGAGACCCACGTCCTCTCGACTGACTAGGACACCCGCCTCTATGACCAGAGTGATCTCCTCGACCCCCTAATGAAGGCCCATGAAGCTTCCAACAAGTCTCACGAGTATGCCTCGGTCGGCGACAGTAATCACAAAACAAATTATCCTCCCCGGAAGGATGAGAAGAAGAAAGTGACAAACCAATCCCATCCCAAGAAGGTACATAAAGTAATGTTGAGGGGTCTGTAGAAGTCGATTGTAACATAACAGAACGACGACTCTCTTCATTCTGGACATAAGCAAAGGCTTTCTGAAGAGATGGAAGAACATTCATGCCAAGGACACGACACCGAACCGGGTCAAACTCCACATTTAGGCCTTCCAAGAACTTGAAGACTCTCTCCTGGGCAAGAAACTTCCGGTAACCAACTGTGTCAACTGTGCAAACAAGCTTGTAATTTAGAAGATGATCTAAGCGTTTCCAGCCATTAATCAGACAGGTGTAATATTGAAGAACTGTCTACTGATCGCTCAATAGACTAGCGCAACTCAAATGACTGAAAAAAATTTCGCTTTCGGGAATATGTAGCAGCTACTGCCTCCCAAACATCCTGGGCAGTCTCCATGGATAAATAACCTTCACCAATCTTAGGGACCATGGAATGAATGAGCCACCCTATGATCAAGAAGTTGGTAATCTCCCATTAATCATAGCCAGGATAAAAAATATCTGGTGCTTGAACTCTCTCGTCAACATATCCCATCTTCTCCCTACTCTTCAGAAAAAGTGTCAGACACTGAGACCATGCAAGGTAATTTTGACCATTAAACAGAGAGGTGGTGATTTTGAGGCTAGGGTTCAGGTTCTCAGAAGTAGTAGTCATAATTGAATTGGGACTCTCCCCCTTAGATGGGTGAGAAGTAGTGTACTCACTAGATGGGTAAGCCATGTTTATGCTACTATCTTAGCCAAAAAAGATAGCACTAATCACAATAATGGAAAGAGGGAATGGAATAGACAAGCAATCTCGAACACAAACCACTATGGGAGCATGACACTTAGATTAAAGGGGCCATTTACCACCCCAAAGAATAAATAAAATGAAAAAAAAAGGTGAAACTTCAATCAAAATAGCAGTCTTGGGTTCAACCACAATGAAAAAAATACAGTAGTAATAAAGAGGATGAACCAAGGAGTGTTACCAGGACATATGATGTGGAGAAACACTTAGATGTTATCACAGAGAGTTCGAAACACACAGGAGAAGGCCAAAGGGAAGTCCAAAGCACCTACCAGACCATGGAAGAAGCCTGAAGATACCCAGATGGGTGTCGGTTGAGCGGAAAAACCCTAGGATGGGTGTCGGCTGGTCTGAATTTTTGTGGTGAGTAAAAGTCCAGTCAAAACAATAAATATCCACCTAACAAATATTTATTGTTTTGTGGTGAGTAAAGATGTTAAGTTGCTCCTGTAGTGGTTCTGAATTTTTTGGGGATATTGTAGATTAGCAACGTCGGCTGTGTATGCGGCTCTGAACAATATCCTAGTTTACAAACAGTAAACTTGTTTCATAAATATTTGTTAAATTGTGCAGTGGATGCATTTTATTATATGTTTTATTTTTAATGATATTTGCAATGTTTTATACATTTTAGATATATCACATTGTCAACTGGTTCCACTTTGAATAGTTGTTTTTGTAGTTTAGTTATGTAATCAGGGTGATTCTTATTTACTACAATGGAAAACAAATTCATTATTCTGCAGAGTTATACATTATTATCTTTTATTTAATTTCTCTTTCAGAATATATGTCTACCAAGTCGGATAGCAGGCATTGAATAGTATTAGGGTCCAAAAATATTGATTGGAGATTGATGCTTAAATTTGATGTTTAGGATGCCTTTTCCAGGAACAATTTTAGTCCATTGTGTTAGGCATTACACTTTAGTTGTTAACTAGGCATCCTCGGTGATTGATGGGCAAGCATGCTTGTAAACTTCCTGTGAATCTTAGAATTTATAACTTCAGTGGCACGTTCTTCACATATTTTCATTGCAAATTCATGAGATGGGAAGACTATTTCTTCTTGTTTTGGCTTGAAAAATCTGTTCTTTGATTTATTCTACCACTCCTGCTTTTGCCCAAAAAAATAAATAAATAAAATTTCATGTATGATATACCACTGCTTGACTTCCAACTTTGCCAAAATTATTTAGCTCAAATTGCAAATAGATGGGACAGTAACAAAATAATTGCACTACAAATGGGATTTTTTTTTTTAATGCAACCTTGACACGTAGGAAGAGTTGCACGAAGAACATGAATGAATTTGCACCATGCACACAGGAGAGTTGCACTATCATCAAAATGTAATTTTTTTGCCACTGCTCCATTGAAATGCAATTTTCCCAATTATTTACCACAGTAAATAAGCCATGGTTTTAATCGTTATTTGTTCCGGGCAATCACTTCTTCCAGAGTATGTAGTCCACCTTCACAGATTATAGTGGCAGACATGTTCTTGAAAGAAAATGCACTGGAACATGCGTGTTGGGCCCTACAGTCTTCAATAGTAAAAAATCTCAGTATGTCTGACATGGATGGATGTGCAATACTAAGATTGTCCTTGCTGTGGTAGCTTAAACAGATCATAGTTTACATGAATTATATTCTCATATGATTTTGAGTGCAGTCCTCAATTGTGAATTTTATTGTTGTTGCTGGGTCCCAGTAAATCAAGGAAAAGTCATTTGATTTCAGTAAATACTGCTTTCATAATTTTGGTACCTCATATTAGTTTTCTTTATCATCATGTTCCATGTATCACTCTGGCTCATTTATAAACCTTCCAACTGCCCTGATAATTTAAATATATATATATATTTTTTAATATAAAACTTTTTGTGGAATGACAGGCGAAGGTTTCATTGGAAAAGCCAGGTACTCCCCCTTTTGCAGATGACATTGTATCTCGCTTCCCAGGATTGAAGAGTGGGAGATTTTGGAAGGAGCATCATGATCTGTTACTACTGCGTGCAGTATTAAAGTATGTACTCTTTCCTTTTTCTTTTGTCCCTTGAAAAAAGTAAAATTTGACCAATTCAAAATATATAAGGGATTTCATATCAAAAAGAAGTTAAGGTGTAGAGGCAATAAAGTGCTGGCTATACTTCTCAGTTAAGTTTGAAATGAATTTTTTGGTTGATGTCTTAAAAGAATAATGCAACTGTTGTCTGTTGACTTCCAACTATTTGGATCTATATTCTCTTGCTGATAACATTCAATGCCAATACATCTTATTTTTTATTCATTTATTTGTTTACTTCTACCGATCTTTGTTAACCTAACCACTACTGACTCCAGAAGTTTCTGGTTGAGAGAGAGCATTTTGTGCTCTTCAATATTGAAAATAAAATGGTCATTTCATAGATTCGAGTGTTGTGAACTTCAATCAATTTTATTAGTGGGTTTTGACCAAATACAAAAGTATTAGATGTGACAAGAAATATATGATATGATATGATATTTATTTATATAAATATATGCATCTATATACTCTGTTCATAGTTATATGTCTCTCCATCTTGTATACTAATTTTCCAAATAGGGTAAGGCGCATTTCCATAGCGTGTGCCGCACCCTAATGTTCCATGTGAGTGTGAATCAATCCACCTCTTCATGCTAGACTAACTGGAGTGACCGATCTAACTGTTAGCTCGGCTCTTTAGTTCCTCACTTCTACCTCGGCTTTGCACGCCAAGACCGAGCTACCCGTAGAAGAGTTGGACCGAGCTAACCAAGAACAAAAGTCCCGAAGAGGATCCGTATACCTCGGTTAAAGATTACGACCGGCCCAACCAATTTGGCCGTGGCGACCGAGATAACAACAAGGCCTTCTTGGACCGAGCTAATGAAAAAAAGCCATTTTACTCCGCCTTTCTTACTACGGCCCAAAACGGCCCATTATCCAATCTCGGCCCAATTTATTTATATAAATTACCCTCTCAATATCCTTCAATTTTGACCTGATGGTTCAATTTAAAAGTTTTATGTATAGAGTGTTTAGTTTCTTTGTTTTTCAAATATTGATTAATTATTTTGTCATTTTTTTTTCTTAATCCATAAAGAATAATTCCTTTTCATCCCCAAAAAAATTAATTGATAATTTTTTCAATCGTTTCTGATTTCACTAGGTGGTTGATTTTTAAAGACTTGTTTTCCAATGCTTTTTCTTCACTTTTTTGGGTCAATTAGTAGAATATTTATTTATAATTATCATCAGAATTACATTAAATGGAACAATCAACTTTATCATGTAGTCCGACAACAGCCCAACAATGACAAGTCGTCAATACTAGAAAAAAAACTTAATAATGTGAACGAAACAAACATTCACATAATGGGGGAGAAAATAATAACAATTAGTGTATTTGGTTTTAGTTTTTTAAAAATTGAGTTTTTTATTTTTTATTTTTTTTGTTTTTAGTGAATAATTTTTAAATTTTAAGTAATTTTTTTACTTTTTTAGACGCACCTTACTTAGATATATCTAAATAATAAAATATTTGTGAAAAAATATTTTTAAAAAATTAATAAATACACAAAAAATAGGAAAAATGTACTTTTTTTTTTTTTGATATTTAGTGAATTTTTTAAATATTTTTTCCACAAATATTATACTTTTTAAGTGTGTTTATGTTAGATGTGTCTAAAAATTAAAAAAATTACTTAAAATATTAAAAAAATACATAAAATAAGAAGTAAAATTTTCTAAAAAATGTTTTCTGAAAATCAAAATCAAAAAATAATTTTTTAAAACTACCCAATCCCACTTCCAGAAAAATCTAACTTGAACAAATATTGAAATTTCCAAGGTTCTAGAGAGTTTGAATCCCTCAAGTCAAGTAGTAAGTATTTGGACCAACATTGATTCATTATTAAACAATCTAGAAGAACTTAACTTGAAACAAATTTTATACAATGGAGTGTAATTTCTAACTTTCTAGACATTTCGAATTCCCCAAGTAGCTAGTATTTCGAGACCCACTTCCATTCATTATTATACAATCAAAAAATTTTGCAAACGTAGCAAGAAAAAGTCACCTCCATCGACCTTCTCTTTGATGGAATTCATACTTAGTTCAAAATTAATTTACCTTTTAAAATAAAAAATAAAAAAAATTATCAAAATCACCCAACGTGATATTAATTAAGATCGCTCTAATGCTTAAGTTGGTGACTATAATGTAGATTTTGACTCATTTAATGGGTGAATCCATCCTTAACTCTGGAAATGAATGATGAAGATCGTATGTCTATTGCGAGATATGAATTTCTTTATCTCGAGTGTTATATCAATTTGACTAATCTTAAAAGGAATTTTAGGTGAAATTTTTATGGAGTCGTTATGCACTAGTCAACTTTGGTGTTCACATTGGCCTAGTGAGGACTTTTCTTTTTTTAAAAAAAAGAAAAAAACTTGACTTGATTGTGCTCTGGCCTGGGCATGGCCGTACCCATCAGATCTTATCCAATTTTTCTCTTATTGAGAGGGACAAGTTACTAGCTCAGCTATTATCATATAATTTACATTTGGTTGTTTTGCTAACTGCCCATTTTGGATCTTTCTTTAATCTAAGTAATTTACTCTCTTCTTAAGAAGATAGATATTTCTAGTTTTGACAATAGTGAATCTTTCAAGTTTCTTGTGATAAACCAAATCATATGCTCTTTTATCTCATTTACAAATTTGCTACAAATGATAGGTTTACAACTTGTAATGACAGAAAATTATAATTTAAACTTGCAAAACCTAATGCAAAGCATGACTTTATCTGTCTTGAGGAAGTGTCTGCACATTTCTGCATTTGTAGGTCCTTTTAAGTTTTCTCATGTCTAACTCCAATTGATAAAGACTTCTATAATCATTAAGATAAAACTACCACTCATCTGCTTCCATTCATCCTACACTTTTTTCACTAACAAAATATAAGGTAAATTACACACATCTCCCCTAAGGTTTGAAAAAAATATAATTAGTCCCACACTTTTGATTAATTACACTAGCTTCTCTTCAGGTTTTATTTCACAAAATAAGTTTGTTTTCGTAAGTATTTGTTAGTTGTATGAATGAAAGAATAATATTGTCAACTCTATTAAATTAAAATGTATATTTATTTTCATTTATTTCAGTATCTACCCACCATTTACATTAATTTAAGCCATTTTAACCTTACTAAAAAGGAATTTAAGTCAATACAATTATATTAAAAGCGTAGAACTAACTGTAGTTTTTCCAAACCTTAAGTGAGGTGAGCATAATTTACCTAAAAATCTAATATGTATTTATGTGTCTTTCCATTTTCTTTAGCTAAGTTGACATTTGTTTAACTCTGTCGGGGCTATTTAACAACTCTGCTGGTCTTAAACCTAGGCAAAGGGAAAGGGTTGTATATTAGGTAGTCGACAGCCAGCATGTAAAAAAAATCGCTCGGATTCCTTATGAAAATGAATCCTACTTTGAATCGATTAAATGTTAGGTCGTTCCCCTTAAGTGACACGGTACACCTGCTTCTGAATGTCTCGAAAAGTGAGTAAGAGGCACCGTATCGACGCCTGCGTGTATTGAAAAATGAACAAAGGTTGTTGCGTTTTTCTGGACGAGCGCGGATAAAGAAGTTAGTCTAAAACTATATGTTTAGGATAGCTACATGGATTGTAGAAATTTTAATTAGTAAGTCTATGGAATTGGTAGATGTCATGATTAGGAGGAGAGTTAGTATAGCTAGAAGAAATTAAGTGAATAGGTAAGAAAGTTAGGAAAATAGAGGATATTGATTTCAAACTATATTATAGTGGCAAAGATGGACACAGAAATGAGGTATGAATAATAGTTGCCAGGGGTCTGTAGAAAATATAGTTGCTAGAAAAGATAATAGAATTATGTTAGTTAAGCAAATTTTAAAGAGAATATAGTAAACGTTGTTAGTGCATGCACCCCCCAAGTAGGATTAGATAATCAGACTAAGAGAGATTTTTGAGACCAAATGAATGAGGTATTATAAGAGATACACGTAGGAGAGAACCTAGTTATAGGTAGAGATTTCAACGGCCAGGAATCGATAATTAGGTTATGAGAGGGTGCGTGGTGAGTTGGTTTTGGTGATAAAAATGAGGTTGGATGGAGTATTTTAGATTTTGTGTTGGCTTCTGAGTTGGTGGTACCCAATACTATGTCTAAGAAGAGAGAAGAATGTTTGATAACCTTTAAAAGTAGGTCAATTAAGAGCCAAATATATCACTTTCTAATAAGAAAAGTGGACTGTCTAAAATACAGTGACTGTAGGGTGATTTCTAGAGAGAGCATGACGTCTCGACATAGGATCTTGGTACTAGATTTATGCTTTAAAGGACAATACCAAGCTAGGAAGGATAGTGGGTGTCGTAGGACGAGATGGTAGGACCTAAAATGAGATAAAGTAGAAGTATTTAAGAATAGAATGGATATAGAAGGTATTTGGGACTCGAAAGATTATGCTAACATTATGTGGAACTCGATGGCCAATTGTATGGGAAGAATCTCAAGGGAAGTCCTTGAAGAGTCGAAAGGAAAGTGACCAAACTCTAAGGAAACTTGGTGGTGGAGGGAGGAGGTTGAAGCAGTAGTAAAGACAAACAAGAGTGCTTTAAAAAGTGGTAGAAGGATAGAACTGAGAAAAACCTTAAGAGTTACAGATTGGCTAATAAAGAGGTCAAAAAAGTAGTAAGAGAAGCTAAGTCGAAAATGTATGATGACCTATACACTAGACTAGATAGTAAGGATAAGAGAGGCTAAGTCCTTATCTTTTTGCTTTAGTTATAGATGAGTTGATGAGAAATATTCAGGATGATGTGCCATAGTTTATGCTTTTTGCAGATAATATCGTATTAGTGGATGATACTAGAGAAGGAGTTACCACTAAGCTGGAGACGTGGAGAGAAACATTTGAATCTAAAGGATTTAGAACAAGCAGAACAAATACAGAGTACAATGGAGTGTAATTTTAG